CCACCCCCCGGTGGGGCGTTTAAGGGGGGCCCCCCCTCGGGTCCGCCCGCCGTTTGATGTGGAAATGAAAGCTGGGGTGTGTGTGGGGGGGGTGTGTGTGTGGGGGGGGGGGGGGGGGGGGAGGCTGAGAGAAAGCAGCGACTCAAAGGGTTAAGTCAGGAGCTGCGGTGTGCTGCTCAGGAGATAATGGATCGCCTTCTCTGTGGCTGTTTACAGCTGTTACATTTCTCTGGGAGCCGTTTTTGAAGGTGCACTTTGTCAGGGATGTGGACAAATCGATTAAAAGGCAGCATCCATTATGCATTTATGTAAATAACATACACTGACGGCTTTATTTCCCCAGATTGAAAAAAAAAAAAGAATGCACCGTGTTCTCAATTCGTGCCCTCATATTCGGTTTGAATTGGAAAAATATCAGCTTCTTATGGATTTTCAATACTCAAACTACCATTTTTAACCTTTCATTACAGGAAGCCAATCATTCTTTTTTACATCAATACATCTTCTGTTTGAACAAAGAAGTAGAAGTGACACATTAAACTTGAATTCATTATTTTAGATAAAACATCTCTAAAAAGAGCTTCAAAAAGGACAAAAAAAACTATGCAAATTATCATAAAATATTATTTGATATTATTTCTGACATTTGAGTTTATTTTAGCCTTGACTTTAAACAGGGGTTAAGGTATCAGAAAGTAACACTTTTATAACTAAATGTCACGTTTCCACAACAACCTCTTGGCTGTAAATCCCCTTTCGTCTCTGAGGCCACCGTAGCCTCACGTCTCAGCCCTCAAACAAATTAGTTGCTTATAAATGAAATTTTGGGAGAATAAGCTAGCAGGGATTGTTCACGATTAAGTGATTATCCTGTCAGTATAATCAAATTATTACTGTGAAAGAATGGCCTTTGCTGTCTGTGGATAATCTTGTAACTGGATCATTTGTGTTGTGTTTTTTTTGTCATGTTGAATCGATGCTGTGGGATTCCATTTCCAGCACCTCTTTAGCGTCTGACTCCAACTGAAATACTTTTATCGTTTCAACTCATGTCAAATCATTGCTGAAGGCATAATGTTATTTTTACCGAATGTGAAAAAAATATTTAAGACTGGAACATTACACTGACCACAACAGTCTTGTTTAGTTTCTCCATCTTTTTTAACCTTTTTAAATTCTGCTGGAACTGCTATTTTTTGACATCTTGTTTTTTTTTTTTTACATATAATTAGCAAGATTTTGCCACTTTGAGAAACCGATGCTTTCTGTCTTTGTGAACTTTTCCTTCGACATGTCAGTCAAAGGAAACGTCTACTGCTTCTGAGACTCGCCTGTGAAACAGATCCGTTTGAACGGTTTTTAAAAGACTGGTTTCACATGGAAGAGCAGGGCTGTAGTGTCTGTTCCCCGAATTCACAAATCAGATGGACTGCGTGTGTGCACACAGGTGAGTGTGTGTGTGATGAGGGCTGTCTCATATTCCATGACATTTATGAGTGTTCATCCCCCCTCCCCCCCCAGGTCATGGGGGTCTTAACCAACTAGGTGGAATGTTTGTTAATGGCCGCCCGCTTCCGGAGGTGATCCGGCAACGCATTGTGGACATGGCCCACCAGGGCGTCCGGCCCTGCGACATCTCCCGGCAGCTCCGGGTCAGCCACGGCTGCGTCAGCAAGATCCTGGGACGGTGAGTCGGTCAGCGGGCGCCTCTCCCAACCCATCCATGCGGCTGTTAATCAGCTGCTCGGTGTTCTTTGACCTGCTTTTGGTCATCAGGGCCACTCTTTGCTGTTGGCTGCCATAATCAACCGTTCCCTCTCTTCGCACAAACATCTTCCCTCAGCTACTACGAGACAGGCAGCATCAAGCCCGGTGTGATCGGCGGCTCCAAGCCCAAGGTGGCCACCCCGAAGGTTGTGGAGAAGATCGCAGAGTACAAGAGGCACAATCCCACCATGTTTGCCTGGGAAATCCGAGACCGGCTGCTGGCGGAGGGAGTGTGTGACAGCGACACGGTGCCCAGTGTGAGCTCCATTAACAGGTAAGAGAATTCCTCATGAATGATGCCGAGTACACCACTGAGAGCCTTCACGTTTTTTGGAAACCCCTGGGATTGATATGCTCTTATCAAAGACGGCACTTGATTGATAAACCTGCCTCTCACTTTTTCTTTTTTCTTTTCTTTCTTCTTTTTTTTTTTCTTCAGAATAATTCGGACAAAAGTCCAGCAGCCGTTTAATCTTCCCCTGGACGGAAAAGGCCTGAGTCCTGGACAAACTCTGAGTGAGTTTAAAATTGATCACATAAAGGTCCTGGATCACTTGTATCCTGCAAAAAAGTTATGGCTAAGAATCTGGTGATCAGTCCAGATAGGTATCCAAAAATATTTCTACTCTAATCTGTCTTTTTCCTTCTCTTTTTTTTTTCATTTTCAGTCCCCAGCTCAGCTGTCACCCCTCCAGAATCTCCACAGTCAGACTCTTTGGGCTCCACCTATTCCATCAATGGCCTGTTAGGAATCCCCCAACCCACCACTGATGGCAAAAGAAGTCACGATGACAGTAAGAATAAACCAATCATCAAACACCAAAGAAAGGAAAACAGGAATCTTATACCCACTCAACATAAAGTTATTTGTTGTGCTGTATTGTGCACTCGTTTCATAACACCTGTCTAGTTGCTAGTTTTCAGTCCTATTATCAGTAAAATATGTTGCCATGGTATATTTTTCTAAACCAAATATACTTATATGAAGATTTGTTAAACAAAGTAGACAGGTCGGTGTGTGACATATTATTGGGATGGTTTTTGGGGACCATGTACAGTAAACTGTTTATTTCTAACCCGACGGATAACACAAGTAAGGTCAATTTAATCTGAAGCCCGTTTCAACTGCCAGCTTTTCGAGTAAAAATGTTCCGGCCTGCAATTAAATTCTAGAAAGCAGTTGTGATGAACAGCTGCGTCAGTGTCAGAGCCAGGACCAGACTGGACCTTCACAGAGAGCTTTGCCTCGCTAATGCATCTGCTCCAGCGTTGCAGAAGGAATCCTTACCCAGAAAAACGAGCCAGTCTTCACATTCCTCCTCGGTGTGTCTCCCAGGTGATCAGGAGAGCTGTCGGCACAGCGTGGACTCTCAGGGCAGCGGAGGAGTCCCAAGGAAACAGATGAGACTGGATCATTTTTCGGCAGCCGCTCAACATCTGGACTGCGGGTTTGACCGTCACCACTACCCACCGGACTCCTTCAGCTCCGCCTCCAGCAGCAAAGCAGAACAGGTGCCTGCAAAGAACACGTCTGTGCATTTAGCAGTGCAGAGTTTCTAAATAGACATTTCTATGTCTGGTTTTCAATTTCTTTGGCCACTTTAGGCGTCTTTTTCATATCTTTGGAACAAATTACAGAATTTCTTAGTCGGCATTAGGCTCATGTGCACATTAACTTTTCCTCCTGTAAAAGCAATATTTAAAGCCACGGTCAATCCCTGTTCACCATCCCCAGACTTTGTACCCGCTGTCCCTCATCAACGGTAGCCTAGACGAGGCTAAGACCAGCCTCTCGACATCTGGCTCCGTTATTGGACGGAATTTGTCGGCACACCAGAGCTACACAGTTGTGACGGGTGAGACGCTTAAATGTTGAAGAAAGCCCTTTGACCTGCTTCAACTGAAAGAATCAAAGTTGAAGTTTTTTTATTTTTTTAAGCTGAACAGTTTCACTAGATGTCTCCACTCAGTCCTGCCTTATTTTTGACACTTCACTCCATTTTCCCTTCCTGTTTTTATCACTCACATTCACCATTTGTTTCCATTTTCTCATCCCCCCCTCCCTCCACCCCATGCTGCAAACCGGCTCTCACCGCTTTAGAGCCTCTACAGACCCTGCCGCTCTGTCTAAAACAGGAAATGTCCCCAGAAGTGACCAGTACAAGCCCTTCCCCAAACATGGCGGCGTCCAACCTGGCATTTGTAGAATTGCAGGCTCTGCAGAAACCCGTTTCTGTCAGCAGCAGCTGCAACAGCAACCACAGCTCCAACCATTTTCCAAACACCCTCAACTCATTCTCCCATCACGCACCAGTGTATGGGCAGTTCAGCAGTCAGTCCCTCATCTCAGGTAATGCAGCCATCCATCCCACTCATGTTCATCACATAACCAACACAGCCGCGTCTGACTGTAATTGGTCAAGAAACAAAATAATCTCTATTTATTTTGCAAAGATCACTCAGTCCTTTATCCTGTCTCATTTTGGACAAATCAGCATGATTAAAATCATTACTCATTATTATAGATGTAAACATTTATTCAGCCTTTTAAACTGTTCTGCTATTGTTAGTGATATTTAGCTTGGGAGCTGCTATACACTGTAAATCCAAATGTACTTATTATTCGGTATAATGTTGCATTCAGTGGTATAAATAAAAGAGTAAACAAACTTCCATCTTGATCTTAAAGATGTCTGATTGTGTCTGTTTTCAGGGCGTGACATGGTGAGCTCCACCCTGCCTGGGTACCCACCCCACATCCCCTCACCTGCCCAAACTGGATACTCATCCTCTGCCATCACGGGTATGGTAGCAGGTAAGATGGATGAACGGAAATAAAGGTTATAGCAGAAAAACGAGAAGGCAACAAATAGCTCAGACAGGTAGAAAGGATGGAAAATGATGGGCAATGAAAGCAAGTAGAGAAAAAAAAAAAAGCAGGAAGCAGGATGGCGGTTTGAAAATTAACAGGGACACAGGCTGAGTTAATCAGTAGCCTTGCCAGGGTTGGTGAACTGAGTGTATGTGTGTGCGTGCACATGTGGGTGGGTGCTCACGGGCCCAGGGGGTACAGGGAACAGGCTGGGGGTTCCGCCCTGCTGCCCACATCCCCCACCCGGACACCTCTGACCACATATCACCATGGGAACCAGGGGGCCCAGGAGGGAGATGCAGGGGTGGGCGGGAAGGGATGTAAAGTCTGGATACGGACGAGGAGTACTGTGGCGTGTGTGTGTGTGTGTGTGTGTGTGTGTGTGTGTGTGTGTGTGTGTGTGTGTGTGTGTGTGTGTGTGTGTGTGTGTGTAACGTGCCTTTTTTATTTGAAGTCTGCCCTCCGAAGCGCGAAATGAGAGGGTCTGATTTATTATTTTTCTGGTGGCCTCGCTGTGAGGAAGCGTTGATACACAATTACTGAGTGAAGGGGGGGGGGGGTGTTGGGAGGTTCAGGAGGAGGAGGAGGAGGAGGTGGGGAGCTAAGGGATTCATTCCAGCCAACATAATTACCAATTAGATATTGGAATGTTAAATATATATATATAAAGAGGGGCAGAATGAAAGGAAGAGGAGTGTTAGAGAGGCTAAAGCAGGAAGTGCCAGACGAAGAAAGGGGGAGGAGGAGGAGGAGGGCATTTCAGAGGGCAGAGGCTGAACGATGTGAGGGGCCAAGCGCTGGAGAGGCTGGCCGTGTGCACGCACCACTGAGCGGAGGGATTTTACCCTCAGCCATCCACCTGCACAGCAGATTAATGGTTTACATGCTGCACTAACTGCTGGTGAATTATGAGCTAAGGCCCAGCAGATGCTGGCACACAGACAAACTCTGCCCAGCACACATCTCAGCTTTTCGCCGTTTCACAACAAACGTCTTGATGACTTTTGGCCATGAGACGCGTGTCCTCATGTGCTGTTTCTTTCCGCAGCAGGTGCAGACTACTCGGGTCAGTCCTACAGCCATTCGCCCTACACCTCCTACAGCGAAGCCTGGAGGTTCACCAACTCCAGCATACTGGGTGAGCAGCAGAACACTGAAGCTAGTGACGGGGGTTCATGCTCAGCCCTTCTTTTTTCATTAAAAAAGACTAAGCATAAGCTCCACATAAAAAGGCAAAGTATTCAGGTGTTGAAATTTTTCATTCATTCAGAAACTTTCTTCCAAGAATTTAGAAGGACTCACTCCTGCTGACCTCGTGATTCGCAAACATTTAATCATGACTTGAATTTAAATGAACAACTGCCAGGAAACGGAGTGTAAACTCTCTCCCACGTGACATGTATAGTGCCGTATTTGTTCCCTGTACAAACCATCGCTTTAGGCACTCTGCTCCACATAACTTTAAACGTACTTTGGTTGCTCCGTCTTATTTTGTTCAACCTCCATTTCGCCATTAAAAACACATTAATGTGGTCCAAAGCCTGTGCGGATGCAGACAACAAAACAAAAGGAGTCAAATGGCAGAACAGAAATGGTAACCACTGAGGAGGCAGTTGTTAAATCAGCAAGCAGGTACTATTAGGTTCATGAAAATATTAAATACTGCATCAACACTTACATAAATAAAGTTACATAAATACAAATAAAGCTAAAGGAAATGGTATATATTTAAAAGGGAGTTGCACTTTAGAGCCATTCTGGCTGAATTCTTCACTGAAACCTACTAAAGTCCTTTTCAAAAGGACAATTCTGCATTCTGAGGTCAGGAGGGGAAAGTCAGATTAAAACTAGTGGAAGTCTGAACCTCCAAGCTGTTTGGACCATGAATCGCTTCCTCCTGATGACCTTCGCTCTGCATCTCCCCTCACAGGCTCACCCTACTATTACAGCTCAGCCTCCCGTACGGGGCCCCCATCTGCAGCGGCCTACGATCACCTTTAGTCCCGCCTGCAAGGACAGTTTCACCAAGAGTAGATCCGCAGACCGCCAGCCAGGACCGGACAAGTCAACATCAGCTGACAAACGGAGGCGCGGCAGCGAGAGCTGGACGTGAACTTGAGACTCTTCTAAAGAACCAGCGGCGCATTCTTTGTACTCCCTGTCTTGGGCCTCTGTATCCCCCCTTCTGTGTTATTTATTTGACATTACTGTTAGCATTCTGCAAGGTGACTCTTTACACACTCCTCCAGGGTCTGTTTCCACATACTTTGCCTGATGGCTCACATGCTGCATTCCTTTCATTTAAATATCTTTAATGCTTCTTTTGGCCAAAGAGCTTTTTTTCCAGGCACACCCGCAATTTGACCTGTTTGAGTGAATGGGCTTTTTGCAACTTCATTATACTGAACTATGCCCGTTTTGTTTACAGTGTATTATTCTTATTTTTTACCCACTCTCAACAAGCACATTTATATCTACTGATTTTCTTATGCTTGGATATTGAAAACGTGATGTTTTCCTACTGCATTCAGATTTTCTGTGATGGCCGCATTCAATCAAAATTGCAGAAACAATGTGGATGTACAAATCGTGCTCACTGAAGAAAATTAGAGGATGGTCCAGCAAAATGTACATACTGTAAATGATTAATTACTTATGGATGAAGGGGATGAGGGTGATTAAACAACAACGCTTGAAATACTTTTGTTTTTGCTTCAGATTAATTTAGTTTGTTGTCATGCTGATGTTCTGATGTTTGGTAAAAATGGTGACTATTTTTTTTATACTGTTATTAATATTATTCCAGATGTAAATATCAAATTTCTAAAGAATTATTTTAATTAAAGCATGACAAACTGACTGATGTTTCCTTTTTTTCTAAAATCTATTATCATCACCGTTATTATTATTGTTATTATTATTATTATTATTACTACCATTATTATTATTACTATCATAAGTATGAACTCGCTCGCTGCAAAGCCTAAAATTAAGCCTATTTTTTGCGGCTCTCAGCATTTTTAAAAGGACGAGATCAATGATCCTGAAAGCGCGCGCATCTGTCTAATTTCTTTTTTTATTTTCTGCATCATGTAGTTTTATTCGCAATCGTTTGGTCGCTCTTTGCGGCCTCATTATGGCGGCGCGGTAACGAGGCCACGGTTGGGCGGCGGCGCGGCCCACCTGGTGCCGGCGCGCGCGGGGCGCCGCGAGGACCGCGGAAGGGCGTTTGTGTGCTGCTCCAGTTTAACGTCGAGGCGGCCGCCCAAAAAAATACAGAATGAGTATAAGGTCGGTTGGGGAAAAGTGAGAAAAAGAAAAAGCAGGAAAGCGTGATATCCAGATAAAGCTGAATGTGCTCATAAAATAAGGGCTTCAGAGAAAATGTGTTCACAGCTTTCCTTCAGTTGTTCTCACTAGATGAAGTCGCTCATTTAAAATTATCTTTTATCATAAAGCGAAACATCATTTCAGTTTGAGTTGTTGACGTTTTTAGTCCTTTCAGTCCTTTAAAAAGCGAGTAAAACGTCTTAAAGGTCTTAAAGTTCTGTGCACTTTGTCACCAAATTGATCTTTAAAGAAACACTCAAACTCAACCGTTCTTGAATATTGTCTAGGCAATTACCCAAAGTACTCCACATCAGGAATATTCGCCCTGCAGTCTCCTCATCTACTCCCCTGAGTCTTTCTGACTCTGACTGCTGTGGACTCAGCAAACCGCCATGCAAACTTCAAACAATGGCTGCTCTCCACCAACCGAGCCGTCCCACTCCAGACGGCCCTTCAACTGACAGGACACTCTCTTTTTAAATGTTTTTTTTAACATCCCTGATCGGGCATGAAGAAACGCAAACATCCATGTACGTTCACACACACACAGAGGTGTTCTGGTGCATGTGGGGGGGGACGAGGAAGGCGTCTCGAGCTGATCTGCTTCCAAATTCCTCAGGTAGAGACGGAAAAGCAGCAAACGTTAGGCACCAACAGCCTCGCAGCCCACAGAGTTAAAAAGGAAACATCATGCTGCTACACAAAAGCCACAGCAGAAATAACTCCTCGCTGTCTCTCCGGGCCTATTAGGGGAGGAGGTTTAGGGCCACAGTGCTTCTGGTAATGAGCCCGGCAGCACAATACAGGCAACGGGCCGGAACAGCTGAGAGCAGACAAAGCAGGATGAGGCAACTGGGACTTACAATATTTAACGCGGAGCCGTGCTAACGCTGTGTCTGCGTGTGTGCGCGGGGCGCAGAGACAGAATGTCCATCTACTGTATGGGCGTGTTTGTGGGATGAATCGGTGTGTGTGTGCGTGTGCTGGAAAAGGCATGCGTCCCATTACCATTATGGGGACGAGCCAAAAGACAGGAGCGAGGGGCCTCTGGAGAAACTGCTGCCAAAAAGGCAGCAGAGGAGTGTGTGGCAATCAGCGGGATGACGGGTCGGGGTTGTCCTGTGCCAGTCATCTGGAAAGTTCTCCACTTATTTCTGCGTCCGAGATGCAGGGCCAAGCAATTCAACCCAGCAAATAAGTATTGTGTAGGCTGACAGACGTCTTTCCGTCCAAATGAGCCGCAGCGCCGTTACTGTGAACGGCAGCGCTGCCGTGTCGGCCCCGCCCGGATCTGGCTCCTTTTTTTTTTTTTTTTTTGGCCCTGGAGAAGATGCAGATTGTGTTCATGAACTGTTTTGGAAGCAACGCGTCCGATTATTAGAAACTTGTGTGGTCTTTCTTTCCCCACAATAAACCCCAGTTGAAACTCTTACTGATACTACTCTCTCCCATTCTCATTTTGCTTTTGTTTTTATGGGACGAATAAAAAGGGTTATGTGTTCCCCTGCAGCTTCTCTGGCAAGCGCTGTGGTAACCATCGAGCTAAGCACCCAGGAACTGATGAAATATTTTAGTAGAGCCCGAATATGTGGCTGTTCAGAAACAAGTCAGCTGGGTTTGTCCCCTAAATGTTCCAATTCTTTACGTACTTTAAGTTAACATTTCCCACACGGCTCAACGTTTCACTGTGTATTGGGAGCTTTTCAATAAATGTATATGGATAAAATAGCCAGGATGTGTCAAGATTTTTAGAAAGAGGGGCACTTTTTTTAAGTTCAGATGAGTTAGACAAAGAATGTAGACACATATACATTTGGCTTTTACCGTTAAAACAGAGATTTTAAACCACTGTTAAATATGGATTATTATAGTTTATAATGGCCAAAAAAATCAGAATGGTATTAGTGCTAATGCGGCATTTTGAGGACATTTTTGCAGCTATTAGAGTCACAACTGCTAATTCCGACTATATAAGGTTTCTGTAATACTCTGCATCAATAATTGTTATTCATGCAAACCAAACTTGATTTAACTATGAGTCATTCTATGACTAAAAAACTTGTTCTGCCATACCCCCCATGTTTGACGTTCCCGGTAACGGTGGTTCCTTCCTGTTCGCTGTGGTTATGTTAGGAGGGTTAGGATGCGTAGTTTGCAAGGTAAATTATGGGATGCGTTCCGTAGCATCTGGGCCTGTGAGCTTTACCTGGGCAAAGGTCAGTTCACACCGAGTACTTCTGTTTGTTTGTACAGTTAAATTGTGGAACGCCGACCCCTCTGGGTGCATCATGAAACACATGGCCTCAGATGAGACTTCTCTGCCACAGACGTGAAAGACATTTACCTACTGGAGGTCACAAAAGCCAATAAATCTGTTTTAGCCTCACTCTTTGCGTGCTGTAGTGTTCTGAAATCTGGTCGACGAAAAGATGATCCAATAAAATGATTCACATTTATGACTCGGAGACCAGCCGACCCAGACACTTCATAATGACCCCCTAATGCAAGTGGAATTTATTCTTTTCTGAAATCCAAAACATTTCCCGGGACACTTCCCCCCCCCCCGCGTGTTTGTTTGGGGTTAGTGTGTGTGGACATGTCAGTACATACTGTGTAACTGCTGTCACATTAGAAAAAGTTTTTTAAAAATTCCTATCTTTGACGCAAATATGAAAGACAGTGCCTCAGTGGCTCGTTCACACTGCTCGCCCCTTCTCTGGGACACGACAAAACCACACAGCGCACACTTAAGACGCCACTCGCATGACCCGATAAAAAGGCCCGAGAACACACGAGTGAACTTCAAATGGGAGCAACTTCCTCGAATTTCAAGCGGCTATCTAATCTCCCCCCACCTCTTCACCATAAAGCACATGAAACAAATGTGCCAGTCAAACAGAGCAAAGTGGCCAAACAGAAGGTTTTTCTGTGCTGGAACAGGCAGGTGCCCTGTGTCAGGCCGGCCTATTAAACAGCACACAGAGCCTTAAGGCAGGAAGCTACTGTTGACTGGGAGACATCAAGAAAAACGCACCTTTGAAAGCGCACACACACACACACACCCAACACTATACACACACTGAGGTGGATAAAATCTTCAAGGTATCAGGTACTGCCCTGAGGGAGGGAGTTGACCTGTGGAGGCCCGGGGAGTCAAACGCATAGCCGACAAACATCTCATTCAGCATCACGCGGATCTGGTGATCGTACCGATTTATCTGCGAGTGGCACGGCACAGATTAGAGATTACTCAGTAAAGGACGATCTGAACAGAATCCTCAAGGTAAAACAGATTTCTGTATGAGTTTAAAAGATCAAAGGCGATAAGATGAAGAAGATTAGACCTCTGACATTCGCCCTCCACTCTATTTGTCGCATTAACCCCCATGGAGCCCTGGCTTTAAGGTCCTGCCCGGCATGTTTGTCCTGCCACTAAAAAGCTGCTGAGTCTGAGCTCAGTAAGGCCAGTCAGAGTCAGGAGTGTGTGTCCAAGCAAGAGAAGAGGGCAAAAAGAGGTCACACGCTGAAATGCCCTAAAGCAAGGCACTTGTCTTAACTCCTCCATTGAGAGGCTCATTTTCTGGAAAAGGTACACATTGATAATGAGTTACTGTTGCTTGGATCAGCAAATAAAACCAAAAAAAAGTCTGATCTGGTAAAATGAGCGCAGGAAAAAAAAAAAGCACCTGCTTTTGTGTGCTCAGTTCATCTGTAAAACAAGGACAATTTTTTCCTCTTGAGAAAACATATCGTCTACGTCTGCATGCAGTGAAAGCACTGGGAGTCTGGTGTAAATGGAGGCTGGATAAGAGCAGGAGAGAACCAGAGTTGAATGTCTTCTGAAGAGGAAAGCGGAGTCCGAGTGGAAAAACAAAACTCCTGAAAGGACCACAGAGACACTTCAGGAGATCACAACTGCAGAAGTCAAGAGCACAGAGTGATGACAGAGAAACAGAGAGCGAGTGGGGGGGGGGGGGGGGGGGGGGCACCAGGGGAGGGACAAAAATGCTTTTTCAATAGCCACTGCAGATAAAGGGAAAAGTAATAAGTAGAGCAAGCAAGGCAGATGGAGAATGAGCATCAAGAGGTGCACGAGGGAAGAAGTAAGCCAAAAGATGAACGTGGGGGGGGCATACAGTTCATGTTTCACTGTTTGCAGTTTTATTGAAATGGGAATTTCAGGGCCATTGTGGAAGTCAAGCAATGCTCAAAGCAGCATTATGCATAACGGGGGGGGCAATGGGGGCTGTTCTGACAAAGAAAACGAAGAAGAAGTGATCTGACGCAACAGAGATCTGTTTTAGAGCCCACACCGCACCAGGCTCTAATGATCACTACTTGAGCTGCTGCCTTTTCAAATATCCAGCCAGGCCTGACTGAGCTGCACAAAGCTCAAGAGTGAAGTGGCGCAGATGGAACAAAAACAGGCCAGTCTTGAGAAGGATGCCCTCTGAACCCAGCAGCTAATGCAGCCCCTGCTGCTCCAGCCAGTCGGCATTGTTGGTAGTGAGGAGGAGAGAAACGGCCCTCCAAAGAAACAAGGCCACCATCGCTGCCGAAGTCATGCTCCACAGGCCATGTGAGAAGCGCTTTCGCTCCAGAGCTCCTCCGTCACGCCGGCCCCAAACGAGCACCTTCAGCACAGTCTGTGGCCAGAAAGGCTATTGGACGTTTCAGTCCGAGCCGAAAAACCAGGGCGGCTTAATGGCTGCCTATGGACGCAACATTCGGTCACAGGCCTGAGAGCATGTAGGTTAGCCAAAATGGCGTCATCTTTCCGCATACCGGGCCACCCCTCCCGCCATTCGAAAGGTTCTGCGCTGGAATGGCCCCGAGCCCCCGTCACTCATGTGCCCAATCAGTCACCCTAATCTGCAGAATCTGACTTTATCTCAATGAGCTGTTGTTCCTCCCATGAATGGATGGAGGCCGTTTCCATTACCCTGTTACCTGTGCACGGGGTTCCTCCTGATGGACAGCGAGCTCCAGCTCTGGCTGCATCTTGGGAGCAGCCTCCCCAGACAGGACAGTGTGTCCTGGATTGTCTGTGCTCTTCATTGTGTTTCTTGTTGTCACATCACATTCCTGTGTGGTGGTGGGGGGTCATTTTCTGACATCCTGCTCTTATTGTTGGTCTCCACAGGCCGACCGTTGCTTAACAAGTTAGAGCTGAAAGACCACAAAGTGGGACCCACGCCAACAAAAGTGCGATGGCTCCCACAAGAACACACAAACATTAACACAAGAGTACAACAGTACACACCTCCACCTCTGCTAACTGACACACATCCCGGTTTCATGAGAACATTTAAAATATTCCACATAACTATGCTTTCTTTGGAGTACCACTGTCAATTGTAATTAAAACGTTTGTCTGTTTGTTTTTTAAAGAACAAACGAACGAAGAAACAAACAAACAAACAAAAAACGACCAAATGACCAAAAAACGACCAACAGTTCACCAACTTTAACTCTACTTTTTTCACTTTGACTGGTGAGAATCACTCCGTTGCACTGGGATCGATGTTTTAACATTTGTACATACCAGTCCTTTCCACTGGTACTTACTCTGTGTGACCTAGCTTGGCTTTCTGCATTTCTGTCAGGGGCCGGTGCACCTACACCGCCGGGCCGGGGTTTAAACTACCTGTGTGATAGGAAGGATTTGCAGGCCTCTGATTGGCCAGGAAGTCATGTGACTGGGTGAGTCAATAACGCGACACCTTCCGGACTGCCAGCTAATTTTAAAAAAGACAACAGCAAACGTCCAATGTTTTATTATTGCGGTGCTAAGCAACCTTGTAAAGGCCCAATGCACGAAAATACCACGGTCCAACCACAAGTTTATCGTCACTGGGATGTCCTCCATTGTTGTCTCGTGCATGTGTCATTAACAAATGACGTCACACGTCTTTCGCGCAATATTGCTGTTAGACCTCATTTGAAATGAGGAAAAAACAAATAAACCATGCCGAGGCGAGTTGAGTTGAATAAAGGGGACCACGTCAAAGTAGGACAAAAGTACATTTTGGAATACACACACAACATATTAATTGATGAAAAAACTACAGACAGAAGGCATTTAATGTCTCTGTTTCTGTCTAATAAGACAAAAAAAGGCCTCTTTTTTTCATATACAAAACTTTATATTGTGTATGTGTATTCAGTGTACTAGATTAACCGGATGTTTAAAAAAACAGGATCTTAAATAGCAAACTATGGAAAGTAGGCCTTTTCATTGCAGCATTTCTGACTTAAAACCTCAGAGAAGTTGAACTTGAGGTGCTTTAAACTTCTCCATGAGTTATTTGTTGTGTCCCTTAAGGTGAATAACAGAAGCTGGACCTCACTTACATTTTATTATAGAGAAATCCTTCATTTGACCAAACAAAGCATGTAACAGAGACATTGATGTCATCAACTTCCAAATGCAGCAAGTCAACATTTTGTTCGCAATGTAAAGAAAAAGAGAAGTGCAAACTGAAATGACACTCAGAGATTGTCTGTTCTACAGCACCCTCTTGTGGTTTATATTTTAAAAGCACGTTTGGTCTAACGTAGAACTTTACAAATGTTGGCTCTGTTTTCAGAAGTAAGACTGAAATACAAGTAAGGTCCTCAAGAAATCAAAAAATAAATCAGGTTTCTCATCCAAACTGAGATAGGTTGTGGATTCGTTTATGTAAAAGTGCAGAATATCTTTTTGAAAATGGACGGATGCCTCAATGTGTATTTTCACTCTTCATATATCAGACCTCTTTGTTGAGACGGGGAATGATGGTCTTACGATAAGTCCGTCTCTCAGAGATATTGCGTTTGACTTTGATTATTGTGGGGGGAGCCACTTCCAGTTCCAGAGAGGGACTCGAGTGGGACTTTTTGAGCCCGCCTTCCTCCTCGTCTTTGTCATCCACTGTGTCTGCATACACCGTTTTGTCGAAGAGGCTCAGTTCTCCTTTGCTTTGTATGGCCTGTCCTGCCACGCTCTTCCAGGCTTCCAGCACCTCGATGTAGATCTCATAGCGACACACCTGTGGTTGATGGACAGAATCAGCTGCGGGTCTTTGCACATGTATTAACAAACACACACCACCGTGATTGCAGTACCTCATGATGTAGGTACTCAGTTCTAATGTGATGGTCCTCTTTAGCTTTCTTGCCCTCGGGAGGGTTTTGCTCCTGATACAACAGGTCTGCTTTGAAGGACTCCAGCATTCCTGCATGAGATTGTAGCTGCCGTTCCTGTACAGAAACAATGACTAAATATTAATCAAAATGCATATTTTGACACTTTCACTTTGTTATATTGAGCATTGTTGGATCAGTCAGTGGAATTGTGATGAGGCATAAACAAATAGAAAAGTTTGACCAGTCTTGTACCAGAGTGTGAGCAGACTGAGAGGCTGGGAGGATCGGTCTGCAGAACCTCCTCTGAGAGCCCACAGCAGCCGGGAATGGAGGCGAGGAGTGAAGGGCCGAAACCAAGTTGATGCGACTGATCCATGAATACATCTCCACTTTGGATCTGAAAGACAAAAAATAATAAAAAATTGACACCTGCTTTAGATTAAAGATACACATTTGTTGAATCACACACACGGCTGCTGTGATGTGACTTACGAGGCCTGAAAGAGAAAGATCCTCCAATCGGCAGTCTGCAAGCGAAATACGTGTGGCTTCTTGGTGTAGTTGGCCGCCTGCTCAGCTACAGAGTGATGCACACTCACCACCTCCTCACTACTTTGGTGATCCCTGCGATAATTGTCCTGACACGCAGATACACGCACACAATAGGGGGACATTTTAAAAATTCCCCTTCATCCAAAACCAAAGACATGTTAACAGGGGGCTGAGTTACAGACCTTTTGTAGGTAAAGGACCATGCCTTTCAGCACCCCATAGAAAGTCTTCCAGCCTCTTTTTCCCCATGGAGCTGCAACCCAAAAGTATTAGTTACAGCAAATTTTTGTGACAAAGTTAAACTTCTTCAGAACATGAAAAATTATTACTGAATTGTGTTCACATGGAAGGTTTACAACATCCTAACAACGAAATGAAAGTTTGAAAAAATAATTCCTAGTACAAAATTTTAAACAAAGCATAGAATCTTTTTATTTCTGACATGTATCCTGTTTTATTTGACCACTAGATGTCAGTAAATAGTGCTCAATGTGAAAGTCAGCTAAATGTATGTGCCTTTCACAGCGTGACACATGCTTGACGGTTCTTGTGGCCAGCTTCTCCTTTTGGCAACCGTGTGGTACCCAAAAGAAGACCCTTCAGAAAACCCTCGAATCACCCTGCCTTAAAGTTCCCCGTCAGCAAATCACAGCTAGATTCAATATTTGGGCGTAAACGACCGCCTGTGGGTAAATGCTGACGCGGGTCTGTGCGTGTGTGGCACTCACTGCGTTTGCCGTCGATGTCAGCGTGCAGCTTCCTCTGCAGAAAGCCCTGTTTGACCTCACAGGCTTTTTTGTCGTGAGGCACGTCCTGGAAGGGGTTGGATTTGGAGCGCAGAGGTGCATCTTCCCCTGCGTCCTCATCCACCAGCACAGAGTTCTTCAGTTCCTCCTCATCCCTTTAATATCCAGAAGATGTGTGAGGTGAGTTGGGATATGTGAGAGAATCGTGCATGTAAGGTATGTTTTACAACAGGTCACTTACACGGCCCACTGCAGAGGTTCGTTCTTTATGGAATTGTAAAGACTCTGTAAATGTATATGAAGAGAAAAGAGATTTAAGATTTGAACTATTTAGCCTTGAGTTTGCATTCACTGTCTGATGTCTTGAAAATATTTGTGGGACAGAATTACTTTCAACAGCTCCTTGTTGAAGTTTCCTTCATCGTTCATGCTGTCCAGGTTGGACACAAACTTGGAGGACGACATGGGCTTTCCTACATGCTGCAGACACACACGTAGCACGTGAAAGACTCACAGTGACCACCTGGCTTTAAAACCGCCGTGCCAAAACTAAAATGTGTAGTTGTCAACACTTTAGTCATACCTGTCCGTGCAAGTCGGTGTTGAGAAGCATCAAAGCACACGTCAGAGCCAACACGGACCCTGAGGATACAAGAAAGATTCATAGTGTGAAACACATCTGGATGGATCTGTGAGCTCAAACCTCTCGCACTCAAGTAAGCAGGATCACCTGAGGAGGAATAGGAGCCAGGGTTGCACTGGTGGAAGCGGCAGGAAAAGTGCTCCAGCACACGCTCTCTCTCTTGGGTTTCTCCAATCAGAATCACCACTTTCAGGAAAGATCTGAGGAATAAAAGAGAGAATTAAACGATTCCGAGATGATTTCCCATCGTGGTTCGGTTAAGATGTCAGTGCCTGCAATTCAAGGCCCTCTTTTACAGCTCTCACCTGATGGCTTGATCCAGAGTTTGACCGGTGAAGTCAAAGAATTGGAGGTATTCCTCTCCAACAGCGTGACTGAAGGCATTACTAAACAGGGAAAATCGATTTACAAAAACACTCTGCATAAGTGCTTCTAAACATGCCCCAACCTATCAGTATAATTCTTATTACGAGAAAACATCTGGGAAACTTGAATTTTACTTCATCTAAACTGAAACCAAAAGATGACAAAAACAGTCTTCTTGATGAAAAATTTCCAACTATTAGGAAGTCATTTATGTTTCCTGAAACTACCTAAACAGTCCAAGATGTTGCAACATTTAACCAGTTAATGTAACCATAGGGCCACTGCTCCACATAATCACAAAACAATTTCCACTATGACACTTTTTCTGTTTTTATGTCGCAAATCAAGATTCTCATCAAATTTAAGGGGATTTTTTTTTTATTTCTACCTAAAAATATATATATAATGAAAACTGTGAAAACAGGAGAAAAAAAACAACTGACATCTGACCCAAATTCTAAAAACTCCCCGGGTAAGATCATTCCAATAATGAGACACTTTACTCCTTCCTAACTATGTAATAAATAATGTTTTATTACAATATGTCAGTAAATGGGTGTCAAAGAGGTGCAGCTCCACAAAACCTGATGTAACAGTTAGCTGCATCCATCTTATTCAGAGTAGGGAAAGGTGGAATTGTATCACGTTTTGTGACACAGCAGCTACTCCAGACTGACAAGGATTAAAACAGCTGGACTTTTTGGACTCAGGAAGCAAGAGTGTTAATATCTGCTTTTGTTTTTGTTCTTTAAAATCCTCTGAGGGCGTCATAAACTGGCACTTCTCAAGGGACGAAGCATCAGTTTATGCTGCTGTATTATGGCCTCCGGGCTGCTTTATGTAACACCTGAAGAATAGTGTTCGGTTTTACATAACAGCAAGGAAGTTTGGCATCTGAAGGTCAGATTTCTAAACTTTACAAATAAATTAGAAAACAATGAATGTTTGCGTATTTGTGATTGACTTGGGTAAATTCCCTTTGTGTGGGCGTTCCTGTTATCAGACTTCAGTAACGATAGAATAAAGCACAAATTCACTTGATGGAAATATCTGAAATGCCTGCATGGGTGCTTACTTTTTGTCCAAGTGTTTCACCACATCTGCGCGATGGATCCCATCCAACTTAAAGAGCTGCTCAGCGAGACGGCGGGCTTTGTCTCTGTCCACCTCGCCGTTCATGTAAGGCACCCCCGGGTTTGGGGCTTTGTGTTGCCCCCCGTTTGCTACGAGCCTCTGTTCGTCCCCGCCGCCGACCTCCCCGACGCGGGGCCCCGCCGTGGCCTGTGCTTCCACCTGGCTGCTGTCGGCCCCCCCTGTCTGCAGTGGGACCTCAGTCTCAGGAGACAGCTGCTCTGTCACGTCTGACTCATTTGTCTTCTCTGCCTCCGGGAGCTGCTCAGAAGGCGCTGGCTGGGATGAGCTGGCCGTTTGCAGTGACTGCTCGGCCCCCTCTGGGGGCTCCTCTGCCTGCTGTCGCTGCTCGGTGGCTCCAGAGTCTTCATCTCCAAGGCGAACCGCCTCCTCTGCCTGAGCAGACCCTTCCGGCTGCTCCGTGTTTTCGGACGGAATGGTCTGGGTTGTCAGTTCCATCTCTGGTGGAGGGTGTAGCTGTTTAGCCTCCTCTGCTGACATCGGTTCTGCCGTCTCTGCCACCTTAAGCTGCTCAGGCTCTCCGTTCTGCAAAGCTGTTTGGTCACACTCTTGCTGCTCTGAATGATTCGTCTCCTCCAGGTTCTCAGTCGCCTCCACCGAGTCTTGTGTGCTCTCTATCATCGCTGCGTTCTCCGCCTCCTGCGTCAGTTCTTCTTCGTTGATGACTGCAGCCTCGGACTGTTCAGGCCCATTCTGATCTACATCCTCGCACGTTTCTAACCCTTCATTGTGAACGGGGAGGTCCTCCTGTAACTCTCCCGGTGTGCTGAGGCCCTCCTCACCCTCTGAGCTAACACTGTCCTCCAAAGGCTGTGGCTCTGGCAGATCAAGGAGTTTATCTAAAAGTTTGGTTATTCCAGGTTCAACTTCCTGTGGTGGAGCGGGTACCTCCCTGCACAGAGTGAGTAGCATTTCAATTGTAATTATTAGTCAAATAACACATAACCACAGTATGAATAAATGAATAGTGCCCTCTCCTGATAGCCCTTTTTTAACTGTACACTCAGAGTTGGATTAACAGTTTGTGGCAACTTCAGTAGTTGTAAACGTAACTGAATAAACCAAATAAGATGTAGAAGTAGCTTCCCGAGGAATATACTTTGTCAATGTCTCAAGACAAAGAAAAATTCAGATGGTTACAGAACACTTTCTTCAGCATTGTCCTGGTAGATAAAGTCTACTTTGTCATATTATGTCACGAATAAAGATAATAAGTAAGCCCATCATCAATTGCAGAGTAATGTGAGCAATTTATAAGAAATAACAGCCTCAACTAAACAAATCTACAGTGTTTTTTTTGCTATCCATTGATTTTTCTTCCCCATTATACACTTGTATGTGCTGCATATAAATTGAAGAGAAACATTTTCTGACAAAAGGGTATGAAATATATCACTTCTTCTTTAAATACATAAAATCATTCAAATTTATTCTAAAAAAGCTAAATAATGAATTAATAAGCATATAAGAATTTACCTTAGGCTTGTCTGGGCCCAAAATATAACACATTTGAATCCATTCTTAATATTTCTACACCCACACCTCATAAATCTTTTATCACCCACTCATCCACACTTTACAGAGGGAAAGTACGATGCCTTCAAAACCATTCAAAATTAGGACTACATTTAGTTAAATACAATCAGATTGATGTAGAAACCATGGATTTAAAGATCAATTTAGCTCATTTTATATTAACAGATTTATCTGACCATGATGTTTAAAACGTCATTTAAAGGCAAGTTCACCTAAAAAGTTAAGTTTAGTCAATTTTTTGTTTGTTTATAGGTATGGTTTTGGTATTTACTGTTATGCGTGTTTCCAGTTCTTAAGCAGGATGCAGTCCTAAGCGCCCCTTTTAATAAGAAGTGAAACAATGTGGGTTAAGTTTCTGTTCAGTGTGTTCAAAGCGGACCACTGAAAAAGACATTTTTATTTGGTGGAGATCTGTTCCTATAATATATTTAACTATTAAGTCAGTCTCGTGTTGCTCTGTGTACTCACTGTTAACACCAACTTCCCCTTCCCTTTTTCAGCCCATGATACTCACACTTCTCTCACACAGCCAGCAGTTTTTGCCTCCTCGCCTTCTTCATCGCTGAACTCCTCGGCCACCCTCTCCTCTTCCTCAGCCTCGCTGCCCTCCTCGACGTATTTTAGAGTCTCAACACCTGGAGCTGAAGTTTGTTCTCCCTCTGAGTCTTCCTGCCCACCCGGCTGATCACAGACCTCCTCCTGTTCCTCTTCTGGTTTTACATCCACAAAAGTGTCCGCATCATTTCCTGGGTCTTGAATCTCTTCGACGCCATAAGTTTCATCTGCAGGTTCTGCTGGAGCCGGTGAGACAGAAACGTCCTCGTCTCCTTCTAAGTCTGCCCTCTGTATGATTTCTGGAGGATATGGCAAAAACGGGTGAATACCGCAAGAGCTCCCACAGCAAAAACAGCTGTTGTTTTATTTGCTCTGCCTCACACTTCACACGCAAGTCATTTCGGGTAATACGTACCATACTTAGAATCTAACAGCTCATGCTCTGGATATTCCTGTTCCCGCGTCTTCGGTTCTGTCACATCTGCAGCATCACATGGCTGGAAATTGCAACATAGGCAATAGAACATGAGTTTTGAGAGAAAAACATGTGACTGCCCGTGGGTTTTTGAGGAGGAGGCTGCACCCTAATCATCATCTGACCAAATTTATGTCTGCTCTATTCCTCCCTCCAAAGCTAAGTTTGCTACATTTGACAGAACAAAAACAGAAAGACCGAATGAGCTCACACACCCATGAATGGATAGGATTAAAAGAAATTGCTAAATATACCTCGTTTTGTGGTTCTCACATACCTCAGATCCATTTCCAGTCCACTCGTCTGAATTCAGAAGCGGGGAGTCTGATACATCTTGTTCTTCAGTGTCTTCCTGCCCGAACAGCTCAGCTGAAACATCTTGAAGCTGGTAAACCGATGAGGAATCGCTGCCTTGACCCGCCACACCCCCAGAGTCCAGCTCATTGGCCAAGCTGCTGTCCGTCATGAGTTGAGGCGTCTCCTGGGAGGGATCGGGCATGTCCCACTGCACCATGGCCGAGGAAAACCGAGGACTGGTGCAGGTGATGGGGCGCGTCGGCCATTCTATCTGCTCCCACTCCTCTGCCTCCCTGGACGTCTTGTGCTCAGCCTTTGGGGAGAGACTGACCCGGGCCGGCTCGCTCTGCTCCTCTGTGTCACCCAAGCCGACGGCCTCCTGGTGTCCTCCGATGCTCTGGTCATCTAATGAAAACTGCGAGTCCAGTTGAAGCGCTGTTTCTCCGACATCTGGGAAAGACGTGCATGGGCCTTCCTCCTCCATCAGCGTCTTTCATTTAGTTTGGTTGCGGGTATTTCGTGGGTTCGGGGGCAGATGTTCGAGTTGGCGTACAGCTACAAAATGTCCTCTGTAGCTGAATGAGGGGTGGAGGCTGTGTGATGTGCCATCAGTCTGAGAGTTGAAGTCTGCCACAGCATATAGTGAGCCTATAAAAAAAAAGAAAGTGAACATTTAAAAAGAGAATTACTTACATTATTAAGAAATAGTTTTTTTCACAGTGTGTCCTGTAAAAACAATAACAAAACAGTTTTTAAACCAATCTGTAGCCTGCTTGGGGAATCTCCCCAAACAACGTCTGAGCAGGATCCAGAAAAAACCCTATTCATGGCACAGCTCTATTTGGCTGTGTAGCATTTGAGAATGTTTAGAAATACAGCAGTCGTACATTTTTGGACTGTATTTGTGCTAAACAATTCATTAGAAATGCACGAAAGCAACATCTGAAATAAGACTCACCACCTGTGCAGCAACCTTATCCAGTTTTTGTCTTTCTTTTTTTTTTTTAGCCCATCTTTTTCATTTGACAACTGTCTTAACTTCTTGGGGTTTCACAACAGATGTGCAGCTCGACAGACTTTAAGTAAAATGTCGCAAAAGCACAATTGAACTTCCTGACAACCGAAAATGAGCTCAGCAACCGAGCAAGACAAACACAAGCAAGCAACAAGATAGAGGTGTCTACTCTAATGGAGACAGGAGGAAAAGGGTGGAGTCGTGGGGGTGCTTCTGATGAGCAGTTTAACTGTCTAAGCCCTGATTTTATCACCCCACCACACTGTCACCCGGGCTTGTGGATAAAACTGTCTTAAACATGATTGTGAACTTGAATTCACAGGTTGTTGTCACCACAAACAAAAGGCCTCTCAACCCACAACAGCATCACCCAGAAGTTAAACACCGACGAGAACCGCTGACGTAAATCAGCTCTTTTTCTAAAGTTTCAGTTGATTTTCATTTTAAAAATCGTCCCCTCTCTCCTGCAGAACGTTGTTTCTTAAACTGTCTGTCTTCATTATTCACTTCACGTCATGTAACCCCAGCATCCGGGACAGACATTGACCACATTTCCTGTGTGGGTGCTCACTTCTCAGTTCCTGTCAGGGTGCAACAAGCGCTACAGCACAAGTGTTAACAAAGATTAAAAAAAGAAGGGCCCCTTTTAAAAAATTCTATTCAAATTTTATATAATAATATTCACAGACCTTTCTATTTACCTATTTCCTGCAAATAGAAATGTATTGAGAACTTAAGCAAATAAAAAAAAGAAAAAGAAGACTTAAAAGGGAAATTCAACACAGGAATTATAAGCGTCATTTGAACCATTTGTAAACCACATTGATCTGATTTAAATCTTCCCCAATCTATGTTAAGATGTTAATTTTTTGATGTATCAAACACAGTTTTACTCTGGGTTGGACGCCATCTCCACTGGTGACAAATAAAACTGCAAAGGAAAGCCTCCGAAAGTGAATATTTCTCAGCTTTAGAAAAGAGAACACAAGCATGCAACAAGAAAAGCGAGTCATCTTAGAGCTGACATGCCACTGCAGCCCGCCTGAGAGCAGAACACCTAGAGAATCTGCTTATATCGCATGGGAAGTTTCCACAACCCCGTCGCAGTCTTAGGAAGTACAAAATTAAGAGTGACTCCGGAGTGAACAAAAGAAAAAGGGGAACAGGAGACGAAGGCTGAAGTGAAAGGTGTTAAGTCAGTTGTGTTTATGGAAGTAACATAATGACAGAGCAAGCCTCCGACAGTGAAAAAGCTGTAAGATCTATTATCCAGACACCAGTGAGCATGGCACAGTCATAAACATGAGCAAAGATTTTTGAAAAAAAGGACTATTAGTAGAGGCAAACCATTCAATTATGAAGCATGACTTACCCCCTCCAGGCGCTTAAAAGCAGCATCATATGATCAACCAGCTTGTGAGCTTTTAAGTCAAGACTTGTGGGAGGGAAAAAGCACCACTGCGCTACACAGGGATTGTACCGCTCTGAGCTACGCACTCACAAACACATTCACTTAACAGGCTCACTCTGTTTGAGCGTGCTTCACTCAACAAACAGACTCCACATCTGCTCTCTCTAAGCCCGGCAACCTTTTAGCCTGGTTCGTCGCATAGAATAACATGCAAGCTCTAGCCCTTTGAGCTTTCTGTCCATATCGGAACCTCTGTCTGTCCGTCTGCCTCTCTCCAGTTAGCCTGTCAGCTGCAAATTACAGGAGGGATAGGAGGAAGCTTCTGGTAACAAAAGGGGAAAGAAATAGCCATTTTCTGATTGGCAGATGACTCAGGTGTAGGCTGAGGCCTCCCAGACACCTGAGAGGCCTCAGCCTACACCCACAGCCCTAAAGGCATGCAAGCACACAAACACAGGTGAGCTGAGGGGAGTGGCTGGGTGCAGACACACCACAGACAATGTGGTAAAACCAGAAGGCGCTCTATTCAGTCAGCACAGTCGCTGGCTGTGACTCTTTGGCAGAAAAATGTGGTTTAACGCATACACCAAACCTTCCTGCAGGTTTCTCTAAAATGTCATGATAAAATTTTCCTTTAATCAGCTTTAAATAATTTCTGATAAACACCTTGCAGAATTATACATTAGTAGTGAAAAACAATACTAGTTATCTGCCTTTAACTGATAAAATCATTAGGACTGACAATACAATACAATACAATACTTACAATTACGGAAGTACACGTTTGTTTTGCTCAAAATAAAGCTTAGCGTTAAAACGGAATAGCTTTCATTTCTTTTAACCATTTCATAAAAAAAACATAAAAATAAAAACGAGTTAGCCTCATATGCTACGTATAATAAATGTTTCCAGCCATATGATGCTGTAGATGTGACAGAACCGAAGACGTGGGAAAATGAATATTTAGATCATGAGCCGTTAGAGTCTAAGTATGGTACGTATTACCCTAAATGACTTCTGTGTGAGGCAGACATTTAAATATCTATTTGTAACTTGCTATAAATATGATTAGCATTACCAAGTGTCATTACAAAAGAAAAAGTTAACATTACTTAGCATTTATGTGGACAGCCTGCAGGTATGGAAAATGGTTGCTGATGGTTACAGTAACAGTTTTGTGATTTAGCTGGTTTTAACGGTCTGAGCAACGTCTGCAAACCAGTCCTAACGGTTCTCCTCCACGTCAGCAGGGGGCGCCCGTGTGTAAAGATCTGTCGACTTCTCTGTGACGTCATCCTTGCGCGACTGTGTTTGCATTGTTTTTTTTCCGCACACGGCAGCAGAGACACACCTACTTTATACCTGCCGTAACTTTAAATTGTGTGTTTTAACCCAGAGTTGAGGTGCTACCCGGGGCTGCCGCTCGGTCAAACATGGCCAAGTCGAACCACCTGAAAATGATCTTAGAATGTTCTCTGAATGAGATTTTAAAAGCCGCTGTGAGCGACATTCTGAACTCAGTGGATCGGACGCTGTCCGAGTATCAGGGTACGATGCAGATAATCGAGTCCGAGAACGAGGACCTGAAGAGGTTGTTGCTTTCACAGAAAAGCACAGAATCCGCTTCTGGAGGTTTGTAAACAAAAAGTCCGTTCCCTTTGCATGTTTTTGTGTCTTTAACTGAGTGTCGTAAAGCCTTTTGTCATTATCCATAATATAAGTTGAGTTTAATAACATGTTGGGTAAGTCATCTGATATTAACCGACGACATTTTAAACATCAAATAGAGTAGACTTAGGAACACAAAATGCTGTTAAAGTAGTAACTGAAAAAGGTGAAAGGTGAAAAAAGCAGGCATTTGCGAAACATGTCTGAGCCTTTGTTTAAAAATGTACCACACTTAGCATAGCCCATTACCGGTAAAACAAGTTATTACTTCAAGTTAAACCAGATACATAGTTAAAACATGGGTAAATAAACAGTATAACCCAATTTTGTTATATGTTTTCAATCATATAAAAAATAACTCTTAAAAGTCACTACATTTTCACGATGGCGGTTTGAGCCTGTGAATAACTGCATTATGAGGAAATATTCATTTTCAAATAGCTTTATAAAGCATAAATATTTAGTAACATTGGTAATTACAGTGGTGTGTCATGAGTTACAAATTAAAATCCTTAGCATTGTTCTCTTCTTCTTCCCCCCCCCCCCCCAGAAATTTCACAGCCATGTGAACAAGATACCACTGACGGCTTTTCTGCTCCAGAATGTGCTGATCATCCCACTGAATCCACCCTGGGTTTGTTCAAAGTGTCCATTTGTAGCAATGACAATAAGGGCTCCAGGACGAGGAGCAATGGCAAGGTGAGGGAGAGCGTGCCATCTGCTTCCTTTTTTCTGCAGGCCGATCAAACGGAACACCCCAATGCGTCGTTGTTTGTTGTCAAAGCAGAGCCTGATTTGGAAAGTGAAGCCGTTGACCTCTCTCAGCCGTCGCTGCTTCTCAAAATGATGGTGAACCCCATAAAAAACGAGAGCTCAGAAGTCAGTTGTTCCGGTCAAGATGCGCATGCACACGCGACTGCTTTTCCCAGCTCCGAACAGGACCTCAAAGGCGGTGATGTTGAATACACTCGTGCCTCTGCCGGCTGTCTGCAGGACGGACATTTCATAAAAGAAGAGGAGGAGAATACCGAGCTGCCACACAAAAAAAGCAACAGTTTGCCGGAGCGAGAATTAAATCACGAAGGGAGATCTTTTGGAGAGCCAGGCGTGGATCCTGAGGGGTTGAGCAGACAGGATGAGCAGCGTGAAGAGATGCCCTCTAAGGAAAACCAGCCCCCTGCTACAGCTGCCGATGAGCTGGTAGTCTTACAGTGCCCTGCCTGTCCCAAGACATTTAGGCGAGAAACCTCTCTCAATTCCCACAAAAAGACTCACAAAACCAAGAATGCACACGCGACTGCTTTTCCGAGCACCGAACGGGACCTCAGAGGCGGTGGTGTTAAACTCACTGTTGCCTCTGACAGCTGCGTGCAGGACGGACGTTTCACAAAAGAAAATACCGCGCTGCCGCACAAAGAAATGAACAGTTTGCCTGTGCGAGAATTAAGGCACAAACTGAGATCTTTTGGAGGACCAGGCGTGGATCCTGAGGGGTTGAGCAGACAGAATGAGCAGCGTGAAGAGGCGCCCTCTAAGGAAAACCAGCCCCCTGCTGGAGCTGCCGGTGAGCTGGTAGTTTTACAGTGCCCTGCCTGTCCTAAGACATTTAAGCGGGAGACCTCTCTCGACGCCCACAAAAAGACTCACAAAACCAAGAAGGTCCACGGCTGCAACCTTTGCGGGAAGTGGTTCGGCCGGGCCGACGCGCTCCGGTCCCACCAGTACACGCACACCGGGGAGCGGCCCTACAGCTGCGACGTGTGCAGCAAGGCGTTCACCCACCGCAACCTGCTGCGCAACCACAGGCGCCTGCACACCGGCGAGAGGCCGTACTGCTGCTCCTACTGCGGCAAGCGCTTCAACGAGCACAACCGGCACAAAATCCACCTGCGGATCCACACGGGGGAGAGGCCCTACGTCTGCCGGCAGTGCGGCAAAGCCTTCACCAACTCCAGCAGCCTGCGCATGCACACCAGGATCCACACCGGCGAGAAGCCGTACGCCTGCGCCCAGTGCGGCAAGAGGTTCAACTGCGGCGGCGACCTGAAGACCCACAGCCGCGTCCACACGGGAGAGAGGCCCTACAGCTGCAAGCTGTGCCAGAAGACATTCAGCCAGAGCGGCCACCTCAGCGTGCACATGCGGGTGCACACGGGCGAGAGGCCCTACGGCTGCGGCCAGTGCGAGCGGAGGTTCACCATGGCCAGCAGCCTCAAGGTGCACCAGAAGGTCCACATGGAGGAGAAGGAGTTCGGCTGCTCGCACTGCGACAAGACCTTCCGGAGGGCCGCCCACCTGAAGAGGCACGAAGTGGTGCACACCAAAGCGGGGGGCTTCCCCTGCGGCCAGTGCGAGAAGACCTACATGGATCGGTCCTCCCTGAAATCGCACCTCAAGAAACACGCGGGGCAGGAGCAGCAGGCACAGAGTAAAGGGAAGACCAGCAAGGCCCAGGGGAGGAAAGCCAAGCAAGGCTCAGGCAGGCAGGCTCTCAGTGGTGACAGAAAGGCAGGAAAATAGTTTGAGGTGAGGAAGTAAGGATAGAGAGGGGGAGACCTGCGGGAAAGGGCCATGGGCCGGAATCGAAAACCCAGGCCGCCCGCATATGAGGAGGTCCTCACACATGGTCCGCCCGCTGTAACCGTTAGGCTACGCTGCGGCCCGGAAGTAAGGATCTTTTATACAAAGCTATTTTACACCAAGGGACATTTTCTAGCTTTTAAAAGAGCCTTTTCCAGATATTCTAATTTTTCATGCAACAAATGATCAAAGAGATTTGGTGGTGAGGCATTAATCTGTTTCTCAAAGTTCGTCAAAGCTTTATTTTTTTTCTCTCCAAAGATATAAGAGTCGGTGGCTGCAGTCTAACTTTCTGAATTCTAGTCCTAGTCGCCACTCTGATTGTAGCCATCAGGCACTGATGCACATGTCACCATTACTTTTTTTGTTCTATTATGACTGTTTTCTTTCTCTTTGCATGGTCACTTTTGAAGCCCTAGTACTACTATGCAGCCAACACACACAGTGTCCAATTTTCTGGATGACATCCAATGCACAAAAATGTTATTCTTAATGCAAACCTACCAAAAGCTAAGCTGATACTCGGCTCTTTAACAAAGCACCGAAAAGCAACAAAAAGCTTCTGAATGAACCGGGAGTCCAAATCATTTTTTGGAAAGGAGTTTTTGATCTCAAAGATGTTTGATGTTTGTGGAACATTACAACACGCTGTTGTATTTGCCCTAAGCCTGAATGTTTTTGTAGTAGGCCTGAATGTTTGGTAGCCATATACAGGTGATCATTGTGATCCATTATAGGCTTTTGTTCCAAAGTGGGTGTTAAACAGGGACTAATATAGTTATTACACTATGTTGTCAAGATGTTGATAAATCTCCTGAAGTCCCCTATGGGGATGATTTTGTTTCTTGTGCATAGCCTGGCCACAGCAGACTAATCTTATATAAGTAGACATGATAATGAGCGTTTTACTCATCTCACATCTTTCACAATGGTTGAATGTCACAGGAATCCCATGTTTCTAATAGAGCTTTTCTACTTTTTTGTAATGACATCATATTAATGTATGCCTGTCTTCAGCTGCACATCATCTGCCATCTGCATTTTCTTCATTGTTTATTTACATATTGTATGTATACATTTCTTTGCCTAATTCTTATTTCTTTGCACAATATAATTTTTATGGGATCAAGGACTCAAAGTCAGTTAAAAATTTCGTGAATTGTGCTGGTTTGAACAAATCTTGATTCTCTCCACGCTGTTTTAAGCTGGTTGATATGTGTGTGTGTGTGTATATAACTGTGTACGTAAAGCAGTGTACATGATCACACATAGCAACGTGCAGTCTTTACTGAGATTATACTGATAGATTTTTACTGGGATTTGTGTCTGAATTAAAAAGATGCATTGACAAGAAACGGTTTCATGCCTAATTTATTATTTATGTGTGACCTTTTTTAACCACAGACATCATGCTGTTCATGACATTTTGCACCTCTCTGACATCATTAAAAAAAACAGGACTGTGGATGTTTTTATTTGATTAAAAACTTGGTTGTCGCTCCTTTTTAAGGTGCTTTTTCCAACGTTTCAGTGATGAATTTTAAAATGCAGTGATCAAACCGTTGCTGAGAAGCTCCACGAAGGCCGAGTCCATCCAGATCAGGGGTGTCCGGTCCTCGAGGGACCACTGTCCTGCAGGCTTTAGACGTTTTCCCTGCCACCACACACCTGATTCTGATTCAACTGGATCTCTCTCTAGACATTGCTGAGCTCTGCACAGGCCTGAAAATGGCACGATGTCAATCAGATGTGTTGTAACAGGAGAAACCTCTAAAAACCTGCGGGACAGCGGCCCCGGAGGACCGGGGCTGGACGCCCCCTGATCGAGAAGATGTCATCGTTTTATCCTCTTACATTTAGAAGCGTACATCCACATATGTGGATCTGACTGATCGGGGGCTTTGTTCAACTGAACTCTTATGAAAATGTTTGTTTGTTTTTTAAACAAAAGAAAAAATCCGTAGTATCTCTACTGGGTTTGACTCTCGCTGGTCTGGCAGCAGCTGGGCCTCCAGGTCAGCCTCTCTTTGGACAGGTAAAGCACGGGCTGAATGGTGCTGCTGAAGTCCATCAGGCCGAACGCCACGTAGTGAACGTAGCAGCGGAACACGGCGGGAGAAAAGTAGCTCTGGAAGGGAAAAAGCGCCACGGGGGGGAAGTAGTTAAACACGATGATGGCCAGGATGATGAGGACCATCTTGAAGGCCCTCCTCTTCACCGGGTGCATCTCGTCCCTGCCGGGCCCCGACTGCCGCAGGGCCCACAGGATGGCGATGTTGCAGAACACCATGAAGGCGAACGCCGCCAGGATCATGGCCGTGAAGACCCTGTCGAAGTGGACGATGGTGCCCACGCACTTGGCGGCGGCGTAGGCCAGGATGACCAGCCAGACCGCGCCGACCAGGACGGCTCTGTGCCGGCGGTCCTTGAGCTCGGCGAAGGCCAGGGGGTGGAGCACGGCCACGTAGCGGTCCAGGCAGATGCAGGACAGCAGCAGCGGCGAGGTGTCCTTGATGCCGTAGAAGAAGCGGAGGACGTACCAGGTGCTGCTGGTGGTGAGGAAGACGATGTTGGCCAGCTCCAGAGGAGGGATGAGGCAGAAGAGGACGTCCAAAACGGCCAGGTGGATGATGAAGATGTCGGAGGTGGAGGAGTCCCTGCTGTTCTTGTGGATGAGCCACAGCACCATGATGTTGGCCGGGATGCCCAGGAACATGTTGGTGAACTGCAGAGCCAGGTACCAGATGAGAACGGCCGGCATGCCCCTGCAGCTGTGGTAGATGGTCTGCTCAGGGCCGCTGACGTTTTGAGGTCTGTGGGAGACGTAGAGCACGGAGGAGTTGAAGTATAAAACCTCCATGTGCCCACAGGATGACCACGATCTGTCAGGTGAGGAGACGGGCAGAGGGAGAGGTTCAGTTGTGAGGGGGGAAGATTGCAGAAGTTTGAGGAATTGAATAATGTTTCTTTCAAACAAAATTAATTTGAAAAAGTTATTTGTCACATTTCAGTAATAGATTTCACACTATTGTTCCCTTCTTTTTTTAATACTAAGTTGTGCCCTCGCTTAGCATGCAGGTTTAATAGAACAAACCGTTAATAGTGAGGCTTCACATCTAAAAAAAGCTACAAAATAAAGCAGTTTCAATTACTGACACATGGATCAGAAATAGCCCACAGGAACCACTCTGTGTATATCGGTAGTAATATTTGGACTTTGCTGCTTTATAGCATATAAAACAGTGGGGAGAAATTTACGAGTTGTAAAAGCCAACCACATCATTTGTTATTCAAACTTTTTTTAAATGTAAGGTATCTAAAATATTTCTTACCAAAGCAATAATTTGATGACTAATATTGATATGTTTTTCATTTTAAGCCAAACCTACCTTTTCCTGGTTCCTTCTTGCTTGAACTGATCACTTTCCAAATGTCTCTGCAAAAGCGGACTCAGCCAGAACCCTGCTGCCTGCCGATGTGTTTTTACAAAACTAAAAAGACAGTACATTTCCTCATGTCAAAACCACAGCGTTCATGGGTCATATGTAAATGACCCGCCTGCTATGAAAAGAGCCTGATATGCATATTAATGTCTGAGGTGGCAGACTGCTAAGTACTGCCCGGTTAAAAAAAATTCATCAAAAGGGATCTCTGAGGTTAAACCTTGTAGGTTTTTATAAAATAACACTCACCTGTTGGATCGGGATGCGGTCGCTCTCCTCCTTTGACTCAAGTGTCCTCGTCAGTTTGGGCAAACAGCATACACCCACCTCAAAATGAATAGATAACATCTTTTAGAGAGTGAGTTAATACTTTAGGGATCCATTTGTTCATCCAATCCCAGTGTGGGGGCAGAGGATGTCCCCCTGGATGCTGCTGTGTCTTGTTTGGCCCCTGTGCATCCGTGACACTTTAGAAATAACATATATAATAACTCAAATGGATTATCCCTCAGTCCTTCAACTTAATTTTAGGTAGGAATGTATAAAAATTTGACATCTAAATGACTGCAAATGGAGTAAAAGAGAGGGGGAACAGATCAGGGGGCAGGACGTGTCGGGGCAAGCCGTCATCCATTCACACTGATTGGCAGTGATGCAACGAACCGATGGTGCCTGACGGAAAACCATCAGTAAACAAGTGATGCAACAGTCCTGAAAACTATATCTGATTAAATCAACTGTAACAGCATGCAATATGTTACGTGAGGCCGATTCCTCAAAATGGGATGTCTTTCAACAGGCTACTCGTTGGGATTCAGGGGACCTCCGCTCTTTTTACTCCACTCTAATTAACTTTCAATTTAAAGGACCTTTGTGTGCAGGAGCCACTGTGTAAAGTGCATCAACGAGAACAACAATGGAATCACTCATTAAACCTTTCAAAGCAGTTAATGCAGAGACCAGTAAATGATTCCGCCATCCATCAGTTCTTTGGCGTCTTGTTGGTTTTGTTGCGTTTGTGTTGGTATTGTGGGAAGTTTCGGGGGGTGTTTAAGGCTGTTTGCGCCCCTTTACTGCCAGAGTGCGACCCTGGTCTGTTTACCTTTGTGTGTGTCTGTGCCTGAACCTGTTTGCACTCGCTCAGACGAGCTGTCTGCCTCCCATATGGCAGAGGATTTTCAATGGTTTTCTAAATCCTGTGTCCACTCCAGCAGCTACCTGTTTGACCAGTTCCAAAGGTCATCGGCTCTCTGTGAGATTGAGACTTCACAACACGAGATGTATTTAATAATTGACCTTTAGCACTTTTAGTTTGGATCCCTGTAGATCACAAAGCAAGACAAGAACATGGCTCGTGATGAAAAGGCATCAAGCTGTTCCTTCAGCGGGGTAAACAACATTTTCACATTTGAAATTGATCTCACCGTGCTCCCATCTGCACAGGTCTGTCATGTAGTTCTTATTCTTTCCCTCATGATTCTAAATAAAAAACAAACTTTCTTTGCTAATTCGTTTTGTACTCGATCTTTGTTCACTGAACTGTCAGCATTGCAGTGAAACTGGACAGGACATTCCGAAAAATCCCCTGTTTTGAGTTCAGTGTTTGTTTATTTTGATAGTCTCAGAACCTTCTGCACATTTTGCTTAAAAAGTACTTGAAAGGCCATTCGTCAAAATGTGGAAGAAGGAAAATACAAGTAATCAGGAAGTGCTGTGAGACACAGAGAAGAAGAACCAGAAAGCACACTGTCTATCACCTTTATTTACACGTTTCTTCTGCTGATTTGAAAAGTCTCAGCGGAAAGCAGAAGTGTGCCACACATAATGTCATCTGAGCAGCAAGAAAGTAACACAGTGCAGACATCCCATGAGTACCATACAGATCCATTACAAAGTACAACTGTTTTCTTATCTACCGCCACCCACCCACTAGATACTTGAGTAAACTTGTGAATGGCTTTATATGTTTTATTCTAAAACCGCTTGTTTCCAGGCTGTTGATGGTAAAAGGGAACAGGCACAAGGTCAACACAGGTTTTCACAATCGTGAGAATGTTTAGTCTCCAGGATTCACAGGGAAATCTCTTCAGAGGATAAGTGTTTTGACCTGTAAGTAGGACCCAAGCCACAATTTGAACTGTAAAGACATGCCGGGGATTTCTGTTCCAGCTAGCTAAGAAATAATCTCTGACCACATTTGCCATCTGCTACCCTCATCCTCCTGAGCTTTCTTCCACATGCAAACTTCCAGGTTTCTCTCCTCTGTCCCTGCTTTTATATCTCGATGGCTTTAAAACTGTCCTCGCGATTATCTTTTTTTTTTTCTTTCAGTAAGGAGCTTTTTCACTTGCACTGCAGCCCTTTAAGTTTTCGGCCTGACCTGCCAGGGTTCTCAGGTTCTGCTAAAGTGTGTGAGCAGCTTACTGTCTGTAGGATTCCTGCTGAGTGAGCGTGTGTGCTGATGGTGTCTGCTGCTTTGCATTGTTTTTATCATCTGAATAGGCCAGACTTCTGATCAAACAGCCATAAGCAGGACGCTGTAGAACACCGCCGATAAGCTTAAAATGCACACTCTTCTGATGCACACATCAGAGTATTTATTGTGGAGTGTTCAACCTCTGACCTCTGAGTGCATTTCATGAGTTGACAACAGCTTTGAAAGAAGAGGTACTTAAGAAGGGTCAACTAACATAAATAACAAACAGTTTTTCTGTCAGTGATTCCTCTCTGTGTTGGACAGAAAATGCTAGAAAAAATGGAAAGTGTTTTAGGTAGACTGATTATTGATATTAATGTACATCGAAAGGGGAAAAAGACCTAAAGTGAGGACTATTTGTCTCTTTAAATTATTATATCAAAGTCTACAAGTCTTTTTTGTGTGTGTGGGTGGGTGGGGGGGGGGGGGGGTTCTTGCAGATGCTTCAAGAGATCAGTCTTCAGCGGTCCAGTCTTTTCAGCTTAGTGTTGATGCAGAGAACGTGAACGCAGCTTCTCTCTGGGGTCAGGAGTGTTCACATTCAGGTCGTGTGCGGTTCGATTCGGGGCTGGAGTGGTCACACTGTGCGGTTGAGGGAGTGTTATGGCTAAAGCTGCATTCCTGCCATGCGTGGTCAGCTCAGTAAACAAAAGACTTCATTTCAGTATTCCTCCAACACCCAACACGGATAGGACACGACACCCTGGCGATTCCTGGCTGACGCTTGGTGTTGGTGTTGGGTGGAGCTCATCTCCTTTCAGATGAAGGTGGAATCCATGGTGCTAGCGTCCTGTGCGCTGCGGGCTCGAGCCTCGAAAAGCTGCTTTATCAAGGCCGACTTCTCCTGCTCCAGCTGGGCGATTCGCTCGCTCTTCTCCGTCACTTCCTGTAAGAGCGGAGTTGAAAAACATTAAGTGACAGAAAAAAAGACAAGAACAGCACATTGGGTGAGCATTGATGATGTGATGGATGCAGCGGGCCAAGCTGAACCTGTGTCAGGAGTCGGTTTTGGTCCTTCAGTCTCTGGATGGCCTGAGGAGGAGCTGGGGCTGGAGGCTGGGAGCTCACTGAGAGAGCGGCCGTCTGAGCCCCGCTGGAAGGAAAACACTGCTGGGAAACAGAGAGGAAGCACCCGTAAAGCCAAAACCAAACATGAACTGTGACGTGTCGGCTTTGTGTACACGTAAATTAAATGTCAAGATTTGCACAACTTTGGACAACCAGCTTCCCCAAATTTTCTCACTGCTATTTTCAAAAACTTTCACTTCACTTACCTACAAGCTCTTTCTGTTTTTCAAATGTGACAAAAAAATGTAAAAAAGGAGGGAGGGAAAAAGCGAATGCGCACCAGAGAGACACGGGAGAGGTTGGACTTTATTGCTGGGAGAGTGGAAAGAACAAACAGCGACAGACGCTGCTGTCAATCACTAACAGCTGGTTGCCTCTTTTGCTCCTTGTTGTTTTGCATTGCTTTGAAACTTGAAAAGGCTTAAACCCTTCACCCACTAATTAGTCTGTGTCTCCCTTAGCTCCCATCTAGCTGTGAAATAAAAATAAAAAAATCTCAGAGCTATAACGCTTACCACTCCAGTGCAGGAAATCAGGTCATTAAGGCAGCGGTTGACTTCTTGTAATTTCGGGATGAGAACGTTCAAGCGAGTTTGACTGGCCTCTGTGAAGAAATCCTGAGTAGAAATAACAGAGAGAGTAAGAATAATTTGTGTGAAACTCAAATACATTTGCAAAATGGGATAAAGGGCAGTGTCTCCATCCAAAGTGCTCCAAGAGCTTTTCCTGAATGCATCCATCTGCTTTTGCTTAACGTCTGATGCTAAAGTTGGTGGAGAAAAATCCAGGAAAGGTCTTTTTCCAACAGCGCCTTAATGAACAGGAAATCTAAGCGAGTTTCCTCTGCAGTCCGACCGGCTTGTCGGATGGCGTGGGTTCAGTGTTTGGACTAACCGTGGAGTGGGAGCTTTTCCCCACTTGTCGCTGCCTCTCGGTGACATTATGGATTTGTCCCTGGTACCAGTCTCGGGCTCGCTCCACCACCTCCAGGCCCGCCAGCAGGGAATCCTTCTCTTGCTCCAGCTCTTTCATTTGTTTCAACTGCATGTCGGGACGTGAAGGAGGAGAGTGGAGACACCGAGATGTGCAAAAGGGAAAAGAGAAAAAATGGATTAATACAACTTTTAGCCCAATTCCAAACAGAGGCACAGTGTTGCTAAGATTTTTTAAATGGGCGCCATGGTCAAATCTGACCACACACTTTGGTCAGCCGGCCGTCTGCCTCATGGACAAACTCTCATCTTTTCACAAGGGCATCTGCAGCACGCTCTTTTGTGCTGGTTGAGACAATGGCGCCACACCAATTGTGCCCAACTCTCTCCCATCCTGAACAATGTCAGAGGAGCAACGAGCCCGGTGTCATAGCAACCACACAGCAACCCCAAGAATGGGGCAAACACTGGATCCACTTCAACTATGGCCACCCCAGTGTGTGGGTGTGTGAGTGTGTGTGTGTGTGTGTGTGTTTGTGAAAGAGGGAGAGAAAACCTGTGTATGTGCAGCCCGGCAAGGCTGCATTGAGTTGTGCTGACCAGGCTGTTCACAGCACACACCGCCACAGTCCAGGGCTCACTGCTGGCATTCAGCCACCTGGTGTGTCATCCACCGCTCCATCCCTCTGACACTCACAGCATTCCAGTGGCCATCGCTCATTCACCGAGAGAAATGTTGCAAACGGAGTTTGAAAAGAGCCCCAAAGTCTGGCGCCTTTCTGTTCTTTCCAAGCAAGCTTTAAGAGACCCAACGTGGGGCGAAGGGGTCGGGGGTGTCCAAGTCTTGAATAAAGCATGACCCAGCCTCTGGCAGCACAAATGTGTGGTGGTGGGCCACAAGGAGGGAGGAAAGAGGGGGACACAGCGAGCCAGCGGGCTTCGTAAAACTGTACATACGTGCTCCTGTGTTCTTTTCTGACTGAATGAGCAAAAACTAACGTACACAACAACCCACTGACAACAACAAGGCACCCAGCAAACTCCCTGACAACACAAAGCATGAATGAGATCGGCAAAGAGCAGCCAGGAGCTCTACCACACGACGGCACATCCGACAACATTAAACAACAATCACACATCCTTAAAAGTCAAGAAAAAATCACCTGCACCTCTGACATTAACTATCACTTTTCAGAAAAGTTTGTGTTATTATTCTGAAAGCAAAGAGTGTTTGGTTTACCTGATATGCAATATTTGATAAGCTTTCCAGTATTTACAACCCAAAAGTATCAGAATCGCACACACCAGTCTATTTACCTTAAAGGGTAGAAATGAGAAGTCCCATAACTGCTTCTAAGATACTGTTTGATCAAGTTAATCCATAAATTACAAACCAGTAGTTATCAATGTTACCTGATGCAGCCACAAATCCTGAAATAATACTCCCTAAACCCACATGAAAACCTTTAAATGCTCTCCCCCTACAGCTGTCTCTCCTCTCACCTCCCTCTCTCCCCCTCATCCAACTCACCCACAGGAAAAAATGCAAGGCCTTGCTGCTGTAGAGGCTACTGCTGAGAGGGATGAAGACGGTCGTGTAGGCAGCCCACACAGCCGTCCAGGCGGGGCCGGGCGGGCCAAAGGAGTCCTCTAGTTCTACCAGGCCCCTGGGCCCGGCCCGGCTCACTACCATCAGGGCAGCAGCGGGCCAAGGAGGCCTGGGGGGGAGGGACAGGGGAAAGGGGGAGGAGGAGAGGGGCAGGGATGGTGGGAGAAGGAGGGGAGTCGGTCAGTCTGCCTCTCCAGACAGAGGCCAAAGGGAGAAGAGACGGAGACGCAACACGGAAAGAACGAGGGAGAGGAGGTGAGCTGTGAAGAGGGAGAAATGGTGAGGCAGGGGGAGAGACGGAAAGTGAGAGGAGGCAGCTCCCGAGTGCAGGGTGGGAGGGGCAGAGTGACGGGGCCCCGGGCGGGACGGCGCGGGCCAGACGCAGGGGGCCAGAGGGATGGGAGGAGAATGATTGGGCCAATAGGAGGTAGATTAGTCTGCATCGGACATTCTTCTCAGTCCTTTTTCCAAGTTTTCTGGTCTTGTCCAAATACACAGTAGAGTAACACTGCAGCAACACTGACATTTCTGACAAACCTCCATCTTTATTATCACCACTCAGACTTAAAAAGTAGCTTCCAGATGGGCCTCAGAGTTTCTCAAAGTCTCAAGCATCTTCTCTGTAACCCTGTTCTGCGAAGCGGTGTTCTTGAAACGGTGACAGACGCAAGAGCCGTCCTACAATGTCAAAGAACAACATCCTGAAGCAGTAAACAGAGGAGGCCTCACGCCAAAGCAGCCACACCGTCTTCTTACACCTCATGCAGCATCATCTGAAGTGACGACTGGTGAAGCGAAAGAAAAATAACAAAATCCCCACACAAATCTTAAAAACCTTTTCAAACCCTGACGGTCCAAAACAAAAAGCCACATGTCATCTTCTCCTTTTTTTTACTCAGACTGACAAACATACACATTAAAATACATTACTGTAAATCTTCTTTTCAAAGTTGGCAATCACTTTCTACATTGTGAAAAATCCTTAAGGTTTAAATGCTAAGAGTTTTCCTTTCACAAAGATACTATAAAATGGAAAAAGGCCACCAATAGGGCACCAGCACAAGTGCCAATCAGGCCAAACGTTTGGTCTCCATGAGAGAAAAAGACTAAGGTGCAACCTGGGTTCAGGACAAGCTTTGGAAAGTGACATGAATTTGCTTTGGTTACACATAGTTTAGGCTTAGCCTTCCAAAATCAATGAGTGTCAATACAATGTTCAAACAACGACAGCAATGAAGGCTTGTGTGAGTATTTTTACACCAACCATTCCATAATCCACTCCGTTGGAAATGGTATGCCTCCTCTGCTCTTCCCGACTCCGCCTATGTCGCCTGGAGCCTCCGGTAAATCCTGTGGCTGATTCACTTTGAGATCTTGGTAAACCTGATTTCATAACATCTAGAAAAAAAAATAGAAAAAAAAGACACATATTGACAAAGACATTTTCACCTTAACAGCAGTCTTGAATGAAGTCTGCAATCCCTAAGTAATATTACTGGAACAACACTTTAGACGAAAGGGAACAGGGGAAAAAACAACAAAAAAATGCAAGAAATTAAAAATATTTCTGATCAGTTTGTAGAAACTTGGTTAAATATGATCCTAATATGTCCCCTGTAGGGACATGCTTACTATAGTCACACAGTATGTCCTCATGTCCAGCAGTCAAACTGTCCTTAAACACATTTCTATCTAAATTTAATATAATGGATATGAGTGCTAGGATTCTTAAATGGCTGGCTGATGTAATATTACTGAATAAATAAGAAAATTGGGACAAAATATTAAGTTGAATGGGGAACATGTTTGCCTTTTATACCACAGGAGGGAGCTGCAAAGAGTCAAGGAGAAATAAGTACTGCAATAGCCAAGAACTAAATACATGTTTCATTATGTTGAGTGTTTCTCTGAAACTGTGCAATTACATCTGCAGCACGCACAGATATGAGGAGAATGAGGCCAAACTGAGCGTGTGGAGTTATGCATCTTATCCAGCTGCCGAGGTATGTTATCTCTGTTGGATTTTTAGCTTTAGACACACGGCACCAGTCCTCTCCACAAACCAGAGCATTTTGAAAGAGAGAGAAAGAGAGAGACATTGGGGCTGCCATGAGCTGGTCTATGTGCTGTAATCTGGAATAATCCGACAGAGTTTGGCTGCACGTGAAAGATTATATCATAGTCACTGATGTCCATGACAGTTGACCTGCTAGTCAGCTGGAAGCATCCTAAAGCCGTTTGTTGTAACTGAACATCATTATCACAATAATAAGCCTTCAGCTAAAAGAGGAACGCTACAGAGATGAGATACAGCAAACAAACTTAATCTTGCCAAGAAGCACAAAAGGGGATGAAATTATAAAAATAAAAAAAACATTCACATGGCAGAGAAGATTACACTGAGAAGAAGATATTTTATTTTGGGGCAACTTGAAGTCAATATCTAAAATTGTGGAAGCATTTATTAAGATAAAAAACCTAAATCATATTTATATTTTAACTTCTTTGTCAGAACTTTGAAGAAAGTAGGGCAGGGCTGTCACTGATATCTTATCTTATTATCTTAGCTAACAATCTACCCGTGTGAAGACTAACATTGTCCTTAGAGCAAGAGATTCAAGCAGTGAAGGACCAGAGGGCTCAACAGAAATAGTGAGAGTGGATCTAACATCATAGGTCCAGACAGGCCTGACTTTATAGAGACGAGGCATCCTTGGACAGCCTCGAGCAGGGTGTATTAATATGTGCATATCCGAGTCAGAGGGAATCAGTGCCAGCAGCAAAAAGAGTGCTAGAGCCTGCACAGAAAAACTAGATCATTATTGAAGAGTTGATGAGGGATTTTAGCAGATTTTTCTCTAATCTACTAAACTCACCATCACCAGTTCCACAGTTAGAGCCTCACGTCAAGCTCTGACTGCTCTCTCACTGAGAGAAAAAAAAACACTGGAGATGGATAAATCTCTGCAGTTCCTGACACGACCTCTGACCCTGCCTGAGGTTTACAACAGCAGTTATTCAACTGGGGCTCAGGGCCTTTAACCGGGGCCTGTTTAAGCTGTGACATAACGCTGATATCCGAGAAGTGTGCTGTCAAAAATCCAACAGCCACTCGAATTGACCCTCGCTGAGATTCATTTAAGGACCTCTCACTGTTGCCGCTTTTACCCGGCATAAAACTCCAGCTGAGTGATTCACACTGACACGCAAAAACTCTCAGTGCATCCAATTACTTTATCATAGAGAGGAGGGGGCCTGCAGGAGTGAGAAGGAGATATCATCTCAATTATGCAGGCAATGCAATGATATCTGTTAAGAACAGCACGCACCATGTAACACACTTGTTTATGTTTATGCATTTCACAGCGGCACTTTATCCAAAGTAACTTACTAATGTTACAGTTATCATCAATTTGACAATACATTTTCCCCTATAGGGGAACTTATAAGCAAATTCAGGATAACTGTAACATTGTGTCTACCATAAACAAGTGTGTTACACTGTATGTGTTTGTCTGACACAACAGCTTTTTGCACTTTGAGGGGTTCATTCCTCATATCAACCCTTTTAAGTTTAGGTTTTAGTGACAGTGTAAACATTTAGGCTCACTATTGCATAAAATGTAACTCTGTGAGTGCAGAGTCAAGTTACAAATATCCCAAATGTAACACAATCTTGGCATTTTTGCGCAAGCCTTACTAAAATGCGAGTTGTATTCATTTAGTTTACGTTAATCATATGTTATCTGACGTAGCCTACTCAATACGAGGGCTTTCGTTTCAAACAAGATTCGGGGTCATTCATGAACTTAGAGCCTACTTGGGGTGCGCAGGGCTGCAGGAAGTCTCACCTGGGTTCTGGAGCTGCGGGGACTCCAGCGCCAGCGACTCGATGGACCGGACCCCGCTCTGCTGGGGCTGCGCTGGCTGGGCAGCGTGGCCCGCTTCGGCACGGTAGCCCCCGCCCTCCGGGACGGCGGGAACTCGCTCCAAACTCCGGCCGGACCGCTCGAACCCGGCGGCGTAGCGCGCCGGCCCGCCCGCGGCGTACCCGGAGCCCTCCTCCGCCCGGGCCCGGCTCTGCTGGGAGGACACCCCCCGGCTCTGGAGGGAGGACGCCCCCCGGCTCTGCTGGGAGGAAACCCCCCGGCTCTGCTGCTGCTGCTGCTGGGTGTTCGTCACGTTGCTCAGCGCGAGCGGGCGGACCTTGTTCTCGACCCGGGTCCCGACGCTGCATGTGGAGAGCGGGGCGGATTTCGGCGGCTGCTGAGGCGCCTGCTTCTGAGGCTGCACCGCAGCCTGGACCTTGAAGTGGGAGCCGTTCTCCGGGTTGAGCATGGAGTACCGCAGGCCGGCCACGAACCGCTCAAAGGTGAGGCAGCCATGCGGCGGCGTGACCCTCCTCAGGCAACCCAGAACCCCCCCGGGCAGGTCCCGAGTGTCCGCGCCCTGCCAGCGGCTCTCAATCTCCGATATGTGGACGTAACCCCTATCGGAGTCATCCAAAATGTCAAACAGGGTCCTTAAGCTGTGCAGGAAGGCTTTGGGCAGCCCATCTGTTGAATACTCTGTTTCCTTTGGCTGCATTTTGGCAGCTTTAAAGCCGTCAGCAGGGCCTTGAATCACGTCCTTTCTCGGCCCAACTCTGCCGTAAATCATCGAAGTCCCGTTCAGTTTGCAGCCCTGTTCAGTCGCTATCAAAGCCATGAAGGTATTGATAAGTTCCCCGAGCAAATATTAATATAAAACACACTAACGCCGACTTTATGTCAGTACAGAGCCAAATAAAGAGATGAGATGAGTTACCGCTCACTCAGAAGTCACAAAGGCATCCTTTCGTGAATTGTTTAACCCTCTGAATTCCCAGGTTAGTTGCTTGTTACATCTGTGTAGTCCGTTCTGAAACTGATCCATACTTTCCTTTTTCTGTCCAGGACCGCCCTTCAAACGGCTGTGCTCGTGCATCTCGTCATCAGCGATTGGCTGAGGTGTGCACGAGCTCGGCGCCCATTGGTTTAAACCCGAGATAGGCTCCAATTTGAGTTGTGCTTTTGTTATTACTAGTACTGCCGAGTCGTTATTCATAAAGCCGGAATGTTGTCATGTCCCGCCGCTTAATCAGAAAAATCTGTTACTTTGGAGACAAAAGAACGTAACACTTTTTATCTAACACCTCTAAATGTCCCTGAACTTTAAATTGACAACCTTTATAATTCAGAATACGATTAGAAAGTTGTTTTTTTGTCATTTTCTTAAAAAGGTTGTACTTATAATAAGGAAAAAAATAGTTAGCAATATAATCAGACATCAGGTAAGGCCTATTTTTTCATAACTCACAATGAGGCCCACATCCCAGCACATAGCTTACACCCAGAGTTCTTGAGCCTCATGGAGAAACCCTCTGCTCAGACACATGCTTTACTCTGACCTGCCTAGACACGAACTCTCATCCTGTCGTCATCTGCAAAGCCTGTACCGGTGATTAACCTGCTGTCACAAAGGACTTCTCCTAATCATTGCCCAATGCAGACTTTTCTGTTTGTTTTCCAGTCAAACCAGATTTTGAAATGAAGTAATCCCCTGTTGTACGTGTACAGTTTATCTGACTCTATGAGAAAAAGTTGAATCCTTATGTCTTCCCAAAACAAATGGACGGACTCCTCCTGTCAGTAAATCACTCTGCTTGTTCTTGTTGACATAGTGGAAATGATTATAACTGCAAGGTGCAAAGAGGTACCAAGTAGGTGAAGGGTGTTTCATTCTTCCATGGAGAGGTGGGGAGTTGAACAATTTCTTGAACCTTTTTTGGACACAGCATGGCTCAGTTATGTAACCAAAGATTGACGAAAAGTTGATTTTTTTATTGGTAGAAGGAGACACTGGTGCTGTCCATTTCCTGTTCAGCTCACTGTATTTGTTCAACTCACAGTCAGACAGCTGAACACTCCCTCCTGCTTTCATGCTGTTAAAATGTGCAATTCTGCCAAAAAGAAAAAGAAAAAAGAGAGAGAGGGAGCCAAACATTTACACATCCTTGTCAAATACTGGTAAAGCATACCAGTGTTTACCAAGCACACCGGAGGCCAGACCATCCTGCCATTGGTCTGTTGGACATGCAGGCTGCTTCTCTGCTCTGCTGCCCAGTCATCCCACACAACCTCTTGCCTCATTATCTCCAGTTTGCTGACTGTTTCTCTACATCTTCTCCTCCGGCAGTATTTTGAAAGGGAGTTCAACCCTTTCATATCTTAGAGGTGTTGAATCAGATTTGAATTACAGTGGGAAGACGACAGCAAAAGGAATTAAGGGTGGGGGTGGATTAAGGCTGAATAGAGACAAAGCGAAAAGCCATATTCAAACAAAACACAACCCATTTTTATGTTTTACTGCCATTCTCCCTGCGGTGCTGTGAGTTGGTAAGCAGTAATCAAAGGCTTGGACTTTGGTTGCTGCGTTTGCTTCAGGTATTTAAGCTCGAAAGGCTCTTTTGTCTTAACATCTTGCACTGCGTGGTGCAGAATTTCTATTACTAATTGCTTTTCGTACATACCAGTCGAGCTCATGGAAAAGAAAAAAACAACAACAGAGGGCTGCTTTAAAAAAGCAAATGAGGTCAATCGCAGATGTAATTTGGTACTGGACATAGTCCAAGAAATTTTCAATTCTTTATTCAAACTTTCAACATCTTAGAAAACCAGATTTAACTTGCAACAGTTTCTTGCCGTATCCTTTTTACTTTTTCCACACTGAAGCTACTGTTTAGGTATGGTGTTCCTCAGAGCCATAAAGAGGGCATCTCTGCAGAACACAAGATGAAATCAGTGAAGTTGATTGAATCTGTGTCTATGGGGTCTCCAGTATTTGCATCTTTATGGAGGTGGCAAATGGGGTAACACTCAACATACTGTTTCCCTTTCTGTTTTAAAGATTTAAAGAAAATTCTTTGAGCCAAGGAGCAATGTGGGTTTAAAGGACTGTTTTCTTTTTATATTTTCATCATTTTGTTTTATACAAACAGTTTCTGCATCCAACATATTAGTACAGAGTTTATTTCCTCTAAATCATTAAATGTACAAGGATTTGGAGCTAGATGATGTGTGACTTTTGCAGCTGTTTTAAGAGGATATATGCATTAAATCCCACATTAATTTTAATACGCACATAGTGTGTTTGGCATTTGCTCCGTTCTGAGAGCTGTTCATTCCCTCTCAGAGTATGTTGCCCCATTTTTTTCCCTCTCTTTTTTTGTCAGATTACTACCCACGAACATGTGGGCGTCTTTGTTTCTGTGTGAATGAAGAAGGGATTAATCTGTGGGTTATTTTATTGTTCTGTAAATAAGCTGCTGTCTTGATTGGCAAATGTTTTGCCTGTAGAATGATCTTGCGTGTGCAGAATTGGAAATGTTATGCTTGGCCTATGTGGGTGCCTAAATAACTGTTTGAAACTGGAACTTGCTTGAGGTAGACAGAAAGTACAAAGATGATTTGTTAAACTTGGGTGATTTTTAATTAAATCTGTGTCTTATATTGACTACAATGATGATGTTTGGATGTTTGTATATCAAAACAGTAGCTACAGTGACAGAATGAATATTTAACTGATCCTCTGTAGTGATGTAGTCTACAGTGGATAAGGAAAGCAATGCATGTCTTTTAGTTGATAAAATATTCCTTTTTATCTTGTATGTGTATTTAGTTTGAATATCTAAGTCGTAAAAATAGTATGACAGTATTATTTTCAGTCTTTATTTAATATTTTTACAAATAATATGACATAAAACAGTTAGGCTGCCACTAGCTTCACATGTTGAAGAGGAAAAGTCAGCAGTAAAAGGCTCAGGTTAGTTGTTGGATGAAGGCAGAGAACATATTTAGTATGGCACACACATATTGCCTCCTCCACTGAATTCTTCAGTATCTGTGGACTTTGCAGGGCTTATTTGATGACAGGTGGATAAACCTCAAGTGGAGGTATAAATCGCAGAGGTAAAATGGTTTGAAAGAATTTCTCTGCAAAGATATGCTCTTCATAGTCCTGACATTTTTGTTTGCATTCAAATTATATCCTTCAAAATAGAAACTGCTCATTAGCTGGTTCGACTTCTCTGTGACCCAAAAAGGGCGTCAACACACAAGTCTGCATATCCCATGAGGTCAACAGTAACGGCCAATAGCTGTTTCAGTTAGTTTAATTCTGTTGCATGACAAACCAACACATCCACACAACAACATCGGATCACAAGCTTAATGTAGGATATCCCAAAATAATTCCTGACCTTAGATTTAGGGAAGCCATTTTTTTTTATCCACATCTTAATGCTATTATGCAATTCAAAACCTCTGCAAATTCTTAAACCAAAATATAATAATAATAAGAAGAATTCTTGTCATTATAATGATAATAATAGAAATTGACACTTGAGGTTTACATGAAAAAGAAATATGAAAAACATTCCAACTAAATACAGAATGAACTTTCCAGGCAAACTTCCTCCATGTGAACTTTCTGAAGCACAGGTTGAAGACGTCTATATTCATTCCATGACATCACCATATTTTGTCTTCTGAGGCTTTTCTGATTCCTCTGCTTGTGGTACTGAAAAGGCAGGAAAGACAAGTTTGAGACAATCAAGACTGAGGAACAGAGCCCGTTCTGTTCAGCATGTTAAGATTAAAACAGAACACTGTCCCATCATGACCTTAAACTAGCTCTACCAGGACCATCACTACCACAAAATATTCTTAATGCCTGCTTTGTCCATGAAAATGTTCTCACCTGGTGGTGGTGACAGCCTGTCTGGAGTCCTTCCGGTCTCTATCAACAACCAAAGGTCTGTGCACTTCTGCGTTTCCCAGCGAGTCACTGCATAGCTGGCCAATGAAGACACCACTGAGAGAGGACATGGGGGGGGGGGATTACTAACAATGCAGGCAGAGGCTGCAGATACAACAAATGTATTTTCTTTTTTTTTTTGTTAACGTTTCACTCGTTACCGGTTGAAATGAGTAAATTCCACTGAAGAGGGTAAGGAAGCTTCCTCTGTAGAGCCTTCTGAACGGCAAATAAACCCGCAACACCTGTAACAGCAGCAGAGCCCCGCATCCATGAGCAAAGGGAAATATTCAAACACCTATTACAAATGCTTAAAAAAAGGACAGCATGTAAAGCTAAGTAAAGTCATGTTATGCCTTGATTTTACATATTTGTAAACTCTACGAGAAGATGGGACAGTATCCTTCCTATTCCTTGACTTTGTATTGTGGCTGTACAGAGTGTTGCTGGAGAGAAGGAAGTCCATTATGACTTCGGCTGTGTGAAATATGGTGATGGTGAAGACTGCAGCTCATGATTCCCCATCAATCTCACACTCAAAACTATTGGATGGTCTCTGGCCCCCTATCTGAAGGAGTTATTGTCATACAGAAGGAATAAAACAAGTTTCATTACAAGATGACAAGATGCATCACTGTAGCTCTCTGCTCATTTACTGATTTAGTCTTCCAACTATTTTTATTGTGGAATGGGATACTCATATTTTGGGCAATCAACAGTATAGTTAAAAATCAAAAAGAGAAATAGTGAATGAGAATTTGCAATACTATCCAAACGTGTTGATGATCCATTTAGGTCATTGTTGGTTGTTTATACAAAGACATTTAAAGAATATAGCTCCCTCCTGTGGCACACATTAGTAGCAGATAGTTGGTCATCTATTTTCCCTTTTCCGTAGGTGTTTGACAGTACGATGGTCAGTAAAGCATGTTTGCTGATTTAGGCACGTTGGGAATGCGATGCTGACATTACCCAGTATAAAGCTCCCAGTCCCCTTCATGAAGGCATGAGACTGACAAGCTGTGTAGGTCTGCAACCCCTGAAACACAAACACATCACCTAAAAACAAAGTTCACAACGCGACCAAACCTGGAACGTTTCCCTTTATTATTCTGGTATATTACACAGATGTGATTCATTTATCCGTGTTTAAAAAAGTGAATGTCCTCCAGAGATCAGCAGACTACAAGAACAAAAACTCACCGGATGTTTAGCAACTAACTCGTCGTCTACCTTCGTCAGCCCGATATTGACCATGTTTACAAGTACTGTGAGACTGAGGTCAAGTCTTTGGGGGGAAAGCCACACCAGCTCACATCCAGATTGTGTACATAACCGTACTGTCTGTTCTGGTATGACACTTCCGGGACGATGACCAACAAACCCAGAAGAAGAGAAGAACCGTAGAGGTACAAACTAGAGCGACATCTAGAGAACGGAAGGCGGTACTGCAGCTCAATAAAGCAAGAGTCATAGGACAAAGATATAGAAACGGCTACGTAAAGAGAAACTTTTAAAAAGAATATTTCAACATAGAAATGCAAAATCTAAGTTGAATATTTTGTCGAATATTTCCATTTTGTTGGATGCACCCCACGTACCTTTTGTTATTCTTTTGTTTGAAAAAATACAAGGAAAAAAAACCTTTTTATGAATAAAATATCATGTCCAAATTAAAGAAAAAAATTAAATCCAAAGAGGCCAATAGCTACAATAGCCTTGCATTTTGGCATCCAGGCTCCTGACCTGACATTAAAAAAGGCTGAAGGGTTCTGCTGAGTCCAAGAAACAGCACGAAGAAGCAGATGGTGAAAATCCAACCACTGCTGAGACACAAGTAACAACACAGAGGATATAATTACAAGTGTCACAGTTCAGCAGCACATCTGTTACTTGTTACACTCAACAAAGAACTAAATCTTACAAAGCAGCAGTCGCTTGAGACAGTGATGACACATTGACATCTCATAGAGACTATGCTAATGCATATGCAAGCAGGTTTACAGTCATACCTGAATACATGTCCTAATTTATTATTCTGCCCATCATATGTTTGGAAATATTTTTTTATTATGTCACCTGATGTGGCATTTTCGGCATGTATTGAAAAAAAGGAATTAATACTGTTCTTTTTTTTCAATACATGAAAAGCACTGAGGATAAAAGTTTTCCAAATATTTTAACCAAGACTTATCGGCGATTAAGAGACATTAAAAACTATGTACTGACCAAGCTTTGCAATGCCTTTTCCTGAAATAATTATCTACTTTTAATTTCTCAGTCGTTTGTCCTATCTTGGACTAACTTTAGCTGACTTCAAGCTGAGAAACTGCACTTACGAGTTTCAACGTTTGAAATACTTTGCATTCCCTTTTGTATCCATTCCTTTTTTGTTTTAAATCTTATCATAGATACCTGGCTCATGTTCTCTTTTGGCAGCCGACTAGTGAATCTGGTCCAAAACTCTTCTAACATCCTCGTCTAAGCGAAATTCAGTATTCTCTTGGTATAAAAATGTGTCTGTTGAAAAATAAAGAAACATTTCCTGTACCTCATACAAATACTGGTGTATTCTCAGTCATCCAGGTCTTTGTAATCCAAAAATCTTAAAAAAGTAGCAGTTTTAGTCCCAGGTGACGGGCGGAAGACAGATTTCTGAGCTCCATCCATTATGAACCAAAATCTCAAACAGGTAGGAACTCGGATCATCCAGGCTTTTAAAAGATTCTTGAACTTAAAGGCAACAAGCACAGGATTTCTCCTGTTAGGACTTTACTGAATGTGGGCCAAAATACCATTTTGGTCTCACATGAATGAGCATCAGCATCAACAAAAACTGAACACACCCAAACAGTCTCTCTTAGCTCCACGACTGTGGGAACTTAATAAGTATACGGCAACAAATCAGGTTCATTTCATTTTTATTATTTTACAATGGAAAAGCAGTTTCCCCACCTGTACTTCCATTCACATATTGTAGCTCTTTATTTCTAGGTGATTAATGCTTATATTCTTAGAAAAAAAGGAAAAAACAAAACAGATTCAGACAAACTGTACACTCAGTTCAAAAAGCACACCCCTCCCTTCAATCCATCTATGACAAGAATGCTAACATGGGATCCAAATTTTAGTGCAGTGTTGAAAACCTGTTCTCACTCACTCACACACAAACACACACACACAAAGGAGAACAATCGAGCCGCATATACATGTGTGACCTCCACGCTAAAGTGTTCGGAGTCCTCAACTAAGACACGGGAAGACACCAGCTGTAGGTGTGTGCTGCAGGTCAAACAAAGAAGACAGGCAGTTCAGAATCAAGTTGACAAAAAAATAAATCACCGTCATGTTTTAAGAAGCAATAGCAGACACAATCACTCCAAAATAACACTTCTGCTGAAGGGAGGGGTTTCAACACCTACATGCCCCTCGCATGGAAGATTTTTGCAACAGTGGCGCCGTGCAGTGTTTTTGTGGAAAAATATGGAAGGGAAACACTGAAGAGGACCTGCTCATTCATTCAGCATCAGGAAAGTACCCCAAAAAAAAAAAGACAAAAAAAACAACTGAATAAAACATTCAGTTAACCCACACTGTACACGACAAAAAACAAAAAATAACGATTATGTCTCATAATGTTCGCCTTCAAATATTATCAACAAGTTTCACAATCAAATGTTTTAAATAAATATAGCTCCATTGATAGAATTTCTTCAAAAATAACCCCTTAGAGCCAACTCTGACTAAGGAAACCTCTCGGACCGGCTCACAGACAGACCAGTAGCCTGCAGATGCTGAACTACAGCTGGAAGAGGCATCTTTAGAATAGGAAAAAAAAAAAAAGTAAACTGAGACTGATGGAGGGATTGAACCAGAGGACAGCGTCATGCTACAGGAAGTGAAAGCAGACTTTGGTAAAGACAAATCTTACATTTTGTTTGTGTGAGAACACCAGCATGGTCTGACGTGCAAACATGAAATAATTATTTGTGATACTAAGTTTCTCCTCCTGCCATCAGTGCTTTGTCTAAACAGGGAAATGAAAAGGCCTGTTAGAGTCGTGTCAGGAACAACTTTTTAATAACTAAAAAAAACAAAAAGGCAAATATTTAAATATGGAACAGATCCAGCTTTGAATGGAGAAGTAAACAACAAAAACGAACTTGATCAAACCAATTAAGAAAAAAAAAAAGTCTCCTAGTACAAAATTAAGCATTTGTTTGGCAGCTACTTTATTGTAGAGCTGTGAAAATGTTTCTAAACCACCAATTTCTGGTTAAATAGGACTTTTAAAACTGGGAAATGTGGCCCCCTTTCAGAGGAAACGCATACATTAACACAGCATATTAGCTGACCATTTCAATGTCCTTCAGCATACGCGCCCACACACACACTCAATACTGTTAGTGTGATCCAATCAGTGAAACCGTGTGTGTGTTGTCGTTGGCTGCGTGAGGAGCACGGCAAGACAGGCAGGCGGGCCGAGGAGCCAATGACCACGAACATAGCAGCCGCTTTGCAACGAGAGGTCAGAGAGGGAGCGATACAGTGAAAAGGTCCGTGTCCCGTTGTACCAGCTGGCCGGCGGAGCCCCGAGGTCCCCCGTTAACGCGGGCGTGTCGCCACGCCCGCACAAAATGAACGACAGCGATCTGTCGAAGCGTGTCCGGTCCGTCAACGGGACAACTTTTAACCCGTCACTTACAAAACCATAGCAGCAGGTTGAGCTCGAGGTTCTCCTTCCTCGAGACCAATACAGAGGGGGGAAAAAAAACTAAAAAAAAAAAAAAAAACACTTTCCAACATCCACATTAAAGCAAGCTATGGAGAATTGCGAGTTCTGGGAAAAGGCAGATGTCTTTGCTTTATTCACTTTCCCCCTCCATCTTCTTATCCCTCCCCCCAACT